TTAGCGGTGTATTAGTCTACTTCCACCACCACAAATTAGTGACACCCACCCTGTAACTATGTACCCATCCCTCTCATCCACTTTCCATCTCGCCAGCCCGAAGCAAAGGAGACGATCGTCATCCCCAGCTCGATGGGAAGACATACATAAAGCTGCCCTCCTCCCCCCTCCACTCGATGCCAATTCCCTGGTCTACTTCTCTATCCACCAGAACAAAGATAACCTCAAGCTTCAGTCTACTACCAGACTCGATAACACCAGCTCAACTTGCTAACAAGCTACCGCTTACACTTACACATCCTCAACACCATACCACACCACCTTGACGCTTGTGGCATCTGAAGGACAGACGCCTCGCTTCGCATCATTGCCTCTCGAAACCTTACCTACTACCTCAATTAGTTATAGATCCGGCGTCTAGCCAGATCTACTCAACACCGTCAAACTGGCTTCCACACGAGAACTCGAAATGTCTGCTCAGCGCCCTTCGCAGCTCCCGCCTTGCCCCGGTCCTCCACCCAGCCGGCCTCTTCCTCCCCTGCCTAAGAGCAGCTAAAGAGTCGACTCAGCTTTCTGAAGACGACAACAAAGCCCACCTTTTCTACGATTTACTGTCTTGACGATCAAACGGCACAACGGCGGTCTGCAATTCAACGCAGCGGGGAAACACTGCAATATGGGACGATCAGACAAGTGATCTCCAGCACTGGAGTACCAGGATTTCGCTTTCATACATTACCTCACGTTCTCTGAGCCTCAACATCTGGCACGCGCATCGGGAGCATGCCTCCTGTTTGCATTGCATGATCTCCGGCGTCAATCCCCGCCCGAATCAACAATAACAAGGAGCTCCGTTGGAATCAATGGCACCAGAGCGCAACCCATATCCGGGTTGCAATGAGTTATGATCTTATCATGACCGGCCCTGCGACATGGTTTCAGGCAAGTTGGCCTGTCATCTCCGCCACTGCCCTGCTTCCAGACAACACATGAAGCTCCCTTCTCCTAGAGCTGGCTCAAAGAGGAACACTCATTCTTTACCAGCGCACCTAGCGCGAATGTAATAATACACCATTTGTAATACCGGTCTTTTTACACCCAAGTCGGCTCAGGAGGTTCGGTTCTCTGGTTTTCACGGGATACATGACGGTCACAGCTGGCATTACGGGAGGTCATTTTTCTTGTACACTTAGAATTTGCACGGTCACGGCGTTATCTGTGAGGATAAGGCCGCGTGTGCGAGGATACCCATCGGATTGCCAGGGACGGCATGGAGGCAAGGGCATCAGTACCCAGTACCTTATGAGCGTTATGAAGTAGGAGTTTACGGAATGAACACGGCCATGCAAATTCGGTCATTTATCTTCACATGCATTTTGTCTCGGTTTTTCTATTGCGTGAAATGTCTTAACGTGACTTGAAACACGAGTGCGCCTACACTAGATTGATTTCAGTTATGAAGTGCTGTACATTGCAAAACAATGTCAAGGGAGATGTATTTTGTCGTCGCGAGCGACATTGGCGAAGTCTCATAGATATGAGATGGCTACCTAAATCTCGCAATCGACTTCTGTGCCTCAAATTACTGAGACAATTTTGATGATCCTAAGAAATTGTATGTTTCAGAATCTCACAATGAACCAGATTTCGCATTCAAGGTATAATTCGCTAATATTAACTTCTGACAGATTTCATCTCAACTTTGCTTGACCAGGGGTGGGGAGGCTGCTTTACCGAGAAGCGAGACGTCCTAATTTGCCCCCCCTTTTTAAGCTCTCTCTCTCCCCCTGTCTTGGACCTTACTTCTTGCATGTATGCACATGAAAGTATAATCCTTTCATTTTTCTTAGGCAAACGCGAAATACCGAATTGCTTGCTTGCTTGTTTGCTTACATATGCTTAGGAAACCACGTGTTATCCTCTTACTATGTATGTAGGTACGGTACTCGTCGTGCCCGATGCAAGAATAAAGGGGTGATCGGATTTCTGGTAATTTTGCCTTGCGTTAGCTAGCTTTGGGCTACCTTACTAACCTAAGGACTTACATGATCTCCAAGCTTTTTTGACACGAACGACTATTTCTCCGTGTTCTACCTACCTCCTTAATTCCAACGTACAGCACACTAGTCGGTAGCTACATCTAGCGGGAGGGAGGGAGAGAGAAAGAAAGAAAAACTAAAATCGCAATTCGAAGCTATGGCAGTCCGTCTTGGTCTTGCTATCCAGAATTTCGGGAACTCCTTGGGCGCTAATGGTATTTAGCCTCAGTCTAACTCGTGCACGTGGACCGGATAGCTATCGAGGCATCATCGTTCATTATTGTGATTATTAATTGAGGAATCCGTCGCGTTCTTCTTTTCCCGCAAGCTCTGTATCGACCGATTGGTCTGTCGGGTTGATTTTATCCGTTAATTACTATCTTCTCAAAAAGTGGGAATAATTACGAAGGTTATTGCGTGTTCTCTTTCGTTTCGGCAAGTACCGTGATTCGCTATCGAAAGATATCTTAAGCGATGTTAGGGATCGTGATCGATAATGGGCTAATTTGTATGGCATTAGGCCAGAGTGCAACTCGGGTTAAGTGTGCTGAGCTGAGTAAGTGCCGTGAATAGTCTCATGTAAGGAACGAGGCCTAGATCTGCTACACCTGGTTTGACGCCTAGGCTAGGCGCAACTGTATTGGGGAAATTGCGTGTTGAGATTTGCTTCCTTGCGTGTATCCGGAGCGCAATGCGATTGAGATCTTGCCAGATATACACATGTATCGTGCGGTAGTGGTACGATAGGGGTTTGTTTATGTTTCTGACCCTACCGAACCTACCGTATTCGCTACCTTATCTTACCCTTGCCTTGCCGTGCCTTAATTTGCCTTGTCTTTAAGGTTAATTTACCTACCTTCTCTACCTGCTCACATACTTGTATACTCTCTCGGCCGAGGGGAGCGGGAGAGGCAGAGAAAGGGAAGCGGGGGGTTCCATGTATGAGCTCATTCATCTATTGTCAGGGCAGATCAGGGGATGTGGGGGTTAAGTTTAAAGATGTGGCATGTCTCCAGGCATTCTGCGACTCCTCTATTTCGCAATCGCACGCTGTGAGAAAACCGGGATCTTGGAGTGGTAGCGAGGGTCACGTTATCCTTAGTTGGTGGGTGTTATAATAACAGGCGTCTTACTTCTCTAACGAGCGGGAATACTTGCTACATTCAACTAAGACAATAATAAAAAAGCCAAGGCAGATAGATAGCGAGGGGAACAAAACCTCCGCGTTTCAACACCAATACGACAACAACCACAACAACACTATGTGCCAAGATCTACCACCATGCTGCTTGTCATTTCCTGATCGGGCCCCCGGAGTGAGTCAACTTTCCATGATACTGATGGATCCATCGCATGGAAGGGATATAATTGATACGATGTAGCCTGGTACTGGTATACAAGTAACCTACTATAGTAATATTATACTTAAGATCATCTCGATAGGCAGGCAGGTATCTACATCTTGTGCACGATTCAGCCCACGGAGCATGACGTTCGGCTCGCCAATCAATGACGATGCTTCTCCGCATTGGCGGAGAGTATGGGTGTTTCAATCGTGGGGAGAAAAGGAGGCTAAGTAAACTGGACACAAACAAGACAGCTTCCAATGTACTAGTAGCTTCAGAATTCACACAAAAGTGCGGAATTAGGCCGGATTGGCATGTAACATATTTCGACGATCACCATGCTCAATTGCGAAACGCATAGCAAGTACGATACGTGCGTGTCATTGCCATGCTTGCGAACTTCCAAGGACATTCGTTGCGAACAGCTGAAAACAATGCTGGCAAGCACCAGGGCGCAAACCGGTCGCGTGATGCTAGCAGCTACTACACAGGCGATCGCATCCTTCGAGACCCGTGCGTACGGAATAGGGCTGTGGAGGAACGGTGATGACGAGGAAAAGTCGTCACAAAGGATGTTCGTGTTGTGCAGCTCCCATTGTCGACCTTCCGGAAATAGACACGTCGGCTGCGATGGGATCGATCTACCATGCATTGATGCAGCTAAGCGCTAAAGGGACTTGTGGTAGGTATGCCATTATCATAATACCTAGTAGAAGAACACGAGGAGACTTGGCTAATCATGATAATAACGGCGGTTATTATGGACTTACTTACGAATCCCTGGCAATCCCTCGGCATTTCTTCCCAAAAGTTGGATTCAGGGCCGGGGATTGCCGGACTCTTGTAATTCCTACTGTACCTACGGGTATACACATATATACACATACATAAACTCCCATAGTACTAATAGGATCACTATTCATAGGCAGACGATTAATTAAGTAGAAACAGTATTTGTCTCTCCAAGTCTGGGCAAATCTCTTTTGGGAATTGTTCTGGAACATGTGCTATTGAAACGAAACAATTCGACAATCTACCTCAGAACCGACTGCCTGAGTAGGACTTTTGCCACCTCCTGGATCGCCAGGGGGAGGCGAATAAACTACATGCCTAGGTAGAAATGGTGTACATAGCCGAGATGGTGTTCAGCGAAACCCGGAAATTGTAGTTAAGCATGCATCTACGCGGAAAGCCTAATTGGTGGCAAACCATTGGAGGCTGGCTACCGTAATGGAGATAAAGTACTTTGCCATACCAATGCAGCAAGTATAGGCGTATATGTACATTTCATCAAAACTAGAATCAGACAACATGCTTCATGGGTTGGTGCAGTCTGAGTATTTACTTACAGTATTTACTCACCGTAGTTACATACGTATTCAATCAATGTCTGATTACCTGTATCAGTGCTTACATAACATAACCTAAGGAGGGTACTGTAGGTACTGTACTTTCCAAAATACGATCTACTGAGCTGGGAGGTACATACGTACAGCTGACAGGCAGTACATATACTTATGTATACATGTATTTACGGTACCTAGTGCATGGTGCGGTGCACTGACGTCACTGATGAACCTGTGCTTATCACCACGTGGGCACGTGGCTGCGAATGCGAAACGGCGCGATAGCCGAACTTGGGCAGATTATCAGCCCACCTTTCCCAACCGCGCAATTCAAACAATCATCAAGATCCGCTACCGGTACTCAGAGTCGCTCGACCCTCCAGCCTGCCTCCAGCCTGCCTCCAGTCTCTCTAGCGAAGCCGGCTATCCCCGGTTTGTGTCCGGCCTTGTAAGTAGCTGCTCGCTCTGAGCAGATCCGATTCAACCTGGCAGAGGCTGTGTGACAGCCTATGGCCAACGGACCAATGACGAATCAATAATCGACTTCACAACCTACATAGTAGTCTTTCTCGGCCCATCCTACCCGATTATCAAGAAGGGAGAAGAGCTACGGATCGCTCGGATATCATCACCAGCTTTGGTGTCCAAACTACCGGGGAAACTTGGCAAGTTGGTCCCCACTGATGTCTTTCGAGCTTCACGTTTGGGGCCCGGCTTTGGGGCGTGACTCCATCGATGCCGAATGTTTGGCTGCCATTGCGGCCTTCCGTCACATTTTCGCTCCCAGTGAATGGTCTTTGATTGCAAGCAACGATACGTATCTCAGCCCAGAACGTAAGCCTTGAGGATTCTTTGTTGATTGTGTCGGCCTTCCTTCGGCTGATCAGCAGCACAGATACTTTACCCGCTTTGTTTCATGGTGGTTTATGGACATCAGGATATACGAACATAATATCGTATTTGACGTGGCACACCACGTCATGCGATGAGCGACTCTCGGACAATGATCTCACATCGCAGCAGGAGGCAGATCTCCTGGCCTACTCTTCATACCTTAGCACACGTGGATCTGGCTTAATAGCACTGTCACTATATGCATCGCCCAATGCTTGGGTGGAGCTTACAAGACCAGCGTATTCGGAGCTATTACCATTTCCTCTAACGTGGACTATTCCCACCACTATCCGTGCTGCTGCCATCGACAAGGCGGAGAGTCTCGGTATGGGCTACATAGCCGCCGAGGCCGAAGCGGATGAAGCGGCCGCTCAGGGCCCGGCTGAAACTACATCGACCGGTTTTCTCCGGCTGCGCCAACAGCTTGGGCCGAGGAAGTCCATGCAGCCAGAGCAGACAGCAGCAATCCGCTTTCAACAGCTGGCCGATGACTTTTTCACAACCCTTGACGAACTACAAGGCGCTGAGAAGTATTTGTTGCAGACCTCAATTCCGTCTTCATTGGATTTTCTAGCCTATGGTTACTTAGAATTGATGCAAGTACAGACACCATTTCCCATTTTAGCCCGGTCTCTTATGGCCAATGGTCGTCCGTCCGCGCAGTTTCTCCAAACAATGAGAGCACAGTCTCAAGACTATGTCTTGCCTTGGGAAGAGCCCGCGCCTCTGGGGCTACCTAGAACGATGCTCGTCTTTGCCGATGGCGCCATCGAAAGCATTGCCGGAGCAGGTGAGAGTTGGCGGAGGTGGCGACGTGGCGGTATTGAAAACGAGCAGGGGGAGCAAGCCCAAACTTTGACACCAACCCTTGTTGCTGTCGGGAGCGTCGTTGCAGGTCTAGCAGCAGCTGGCGCAGCAGTGATCCTTCGAGGAATACCCTCATTCGGCGCGACTACTCACCGCTTTGAGGCGCCGAAGGAAGAAAAGGGCCTGCATCGATTTGGGGAGATTGGGGCGATGCTTGACGTTTTGCCGATCTTCGACCAGCCGCCGACTCCTTCATCATCCCTTTAGACTGCGATGTAACATAAGTACACAGTGAATGTTGCTTGCGGCGTTAGGCATCGTGTACTCAACTACTATTCAGGTCACGAGACTTTGATGTGCCTCACGAATAACATAGATGCATAAACTGGTACAAAATCATGTACTGATAGCATATACCACAGGTGAAAAATAAACTCGTTATACAAATATGGGCATATTTAGTATCACAAGATATCTAGATACCGCTAACAAGTAATTGATACGTCCAACTTGGAGTGTACCTTAGACCTAGCATTTGTGGCGGTTAGGGGTATCCAGGCCATAACTATTCCCAATGTACCTTTCTCAATCAGAAGCAGAGGTAACAAGGTTCGGTCCGGACCGTCACTCAAGTTTAACTTCGTAATTAACTCCCTTAGAGCAGCGAAGGAAGATTACGTGTGCTTGCCCCGACGAACTAGATAGATACGTTACTGCAGTGCTTAATGTGGTAATGAATTATCTCCCAAACACCTTGAGCCTGTGTAAGAACGAGGGCATCTAGGTATCTGATTGAAATGCTTATTTTGCCTCGAGATATTACTGTCCAATTGAACCTGGGTTCGTTGGTTTCGAAATCCACATTGTTGGCGAAGGCTCTGGTAGGTGCAATGTGCCTTTTGCTCATCCTGACGCGGCTATATTAGCTCGAAACTGCACTTTTAATATAATTACGTGGTTCGAGGCGTCACGCTTGCATTTCTACCGAGGCGCTGCTCACCTCGATGGAGTCGTGTGACATGATACGTGAAATGTAAGTTTGAAAGGCAGCGCTCGAAAGACGAGATATGCATGGATCTTGTTTCAGTTATCGGCCTGGGAAACACTGTTTCTAGGTCTACGCGTAGGTGGCGAGATGTAGGATCGCAGTCAATATCAAGACTGCTGTGAGCTCGGTGTCTTTGGCCTGAACGTGTCAGGTGATATAGTCACATAGACCCTAGGGGTGGCTGTATTAGACCTACTGGCTATATAAAGGGGTGTTGGCCCCCCCTTCGAGGGTTGGAAGGTTCAGGATTCAATGAATATTGACGCCTATACCACCCTTCTACCTACCTACTTGACTGTGACTGACCTTCTACTCACTCCGGGACCAACCTGCATGACAGAACGAGATCGCTAGTGCGACGTATATTCCTTTGGCGTCGTTTATTTTCAATAGTGATAGTTACTATTGTTATAATCTGTCTGGTCGGGGAGGATTCGACTTGAATGCAATGTCAAACGCGGTATCTTGCAAGAGCATTCTGGGATATGCAGCATGCTGCATTGACACATCCTCATATGCGAGGAATAAACTCTACGTGATGGGCTGGAAATAGACAAAGCCATGCTTCTGCGATTACTATTCGGCCGTGGGTTGAATTCAACCTTGATGCCAACCCCAAGTTCTCGAATAAGGCATAGGATATATGCGTATAGATATAGCTTGAGATACCGTCTTTGCAACTCGGGATTTTCGCAGAATGACTTTTCCTGCTACCTGTGCTTAAATCAGCCCTGAGAAGCGTGGACTCGAGGTTTGCCTCAAAAGCTACTTCCCATAATAGTGTATGCTTCAATTTAAGGAAATAGTGGAGTGAAAACATCGATATAGAAGCCTCAGCGTGGTCTGTGTATAAATAATCTTTACACATTAAGGCCCCTTTCCTGAAGGTGGTGTGCGGCCTAAGCTTCTTGACCAACACATGCTAATTAATATCACAATAGAGTGGTTTACTAAAGCTCTATCAGCTGCCCTTTGCGCTCTTTACTTCTGAATTTCCCTACGTAAATTGATCTTTGCATACATCTATCGGGGAGAGTGGTCCCAGAAACAATAGAAGGCTAGTCACGATCAAGTACAAGGCAGTTTAGAGTTCAACAATCCATCAGTTTCTAAACCTTTCAACTCTCAAGGGGGTCTGGCACCCCTTCATATACTAGAAGGGTTAATATAGCCATACCCAGGGTCTATGTGGCTACATCTCATGGCAGCATCGCGCTGGGGTGTTCGGGGATTAGAGACGGGAAAGAATCCTCCTTGTTCCTCGTTGGCTCTCGGTCATGTGACGGGATCGTTGTAGTCGATTTGTCTTCCCATATACCAATTATTGGGTTTATATGCTTCTCAAGCAAACCCTACCGCATAAAAGAAGTAGAGATGTAATTGGCCGATGACGAGATCCTGTTTTGCTCTGGGGATGAATTTTAAAACAATAGCCCAATACTAGTCTAAGCTGTCGTCGACCTCATGCTGCACCGGTGGATTAAGTAGAGGAAGCTGATTTCGCTGTATCTGCATCCATCCATGGCATGTAGGTAACGGCGGAAATGGGGGCAAATCTGTTAAACCTTCACACAATGATGTATATAGTAATTGGCAACTTTCGTCACGAAATGAATAGAAATTGAAGACAGCGTTCTTATATGTCGTAGGACCCTTTTAGATCTTGATCTCCGGGTGAATGGACATATGTTTAAAGTCATTCCAGGTAGTCGGAGGACGGTCATTCATTCATCAACAAGCAGAGAATGCTTGTCCTTGTCAGCTTCGTCGTCGATTGAACGATTCATCCCGACGGTACGGGATATAAGACGTAGCAGCGCTGCTGCGATTCCATTCGCCGTATCATCCTTTGAACTACACTCCTTGCTATGCTTGATGACCTTATGAAACGGAAATTTCTACCCAATTCTCGTCAAAGTAGCGTGCATACCCTTGCTGAAGAGCGACTCTAGGTACAGTGTGTGAAAGTCTACATCAGCTGTCGTTTGCCAGCGCTATGTAGGAAGATGGTATACATTCACTATCTTTATCTTACCTCTGGATGTTGAACTTATTATCAATAATGATGTTGTCTGGCTTGAGATCACTATGTTCGATGGCAAATATCGTGCTATCTTGTTCTTGGTCGGGTACGTGATCGAGAAAGCCTTGTTAGTCGACACAGTCCTGATTAGAAATGTCGAAAAGCTTACCCTCTCTGACTCGAATGTGCCAATTTCAGAAGTCGCTCGAAATAGGCCTCTGCCGTGGTAGGGCCTCAGACCGTTAGTTAGCTTTTTCATTTGCGGAATGGATGCCCTGCGTACGGTTTTCGAGTGTGCACTCGATTAAAGATAGTTGTATTGACGCTATTTGGCGCAGCAAGCTATTACGATAAGGTTGCTTTGGGAAGCTTGTATTCTAAAGAAGTCTTGAGCCTTCAATCCACATGAGAACGATGAATGGGTGCTTGAGAGGATTATCAAAACTCAGACTATATCCACGGCATTTTGAGGCCTAGCGAAAGCCCTTTGCCTCAAGCATCTGAAGAATCTCTACTTCCGTTTTGATTACGGGGATCTTTTCGAATTGACTGCAGACGCTCATGTATAAGTAGTGGCATGCGGACGGCTAGACTTTCCTTATCTCGAAAATCAAGCTTGAAGCTGCGACACTAACCTCCACGGAACTCATCCTCCAGCACCGGCGACTCTCCTCCGAGTCCAAGCTGAAAGATGGCAGCAAAGATATTTCGCGGCTTGAAGCCATCTTATGACTGAAGAGCAGTAAAATCAACTGTCGGCGGTGTCAGGTCATATCGGCGGCCAAAAAAGGAAGCTAAGCACGACATTCTAGGAATTAGGTATGTATGCAAAAGGAAGAATAATGTTATAAGGGTGCAAGGCAACAAAGAAACATCCACTATGCGTAGCTTCAGCTTTGCCTGCCAGAAGGTTGGACGGACCCTTGCGCAACGATAGAAATCATGAGCCGGCCGAATGCTTGATCCTGTTAGCTAGGTAACTTCATACTTAGGTTCATATGTGTCGGTAAATATAAACAGGAAAAAGGAAGCCCCCGAAATATATTCGTGTTGGCATGTATGCATATGGTCAAATGAAGACCCTTTACAGCAAAACAAATACCGACGTTAAAAATGTAGGTACTCATTGAGGACTGAGTCCCCCGAAATAGATAAATTGTGGGCTAGAAGGAGTAGTATTAATCACTATTTATACGACGACCAACTGCATTCGATAAAGCTTCAACAAGAACTAACTAGTAGGTATCTTAGTGCCCCAAGTCCCGCCAAGCACAACGCCTCTTTTCGTAAACTCCAGTGCCAATATTCATAACTTCCAAACTCCGTATTGCCAACGATGTCGTTTCAGTTCAACCTCGGACTCTTCCTCCTGCTAATACTTTGGGAGAAAATCTCCTTGCCACCTCCTGGGACTAATGCTGCGAGAGGCGGTAAGTTTTCTCGTCCTTCCATGCTTAATGTTGACTTGCTTGTCCTGCCTCGGGTAGTCTTACTCTTCTTAAACAGAGGCATCGTCATATCCTCAGGTATATCATCTTCAGGTTCCATCAAGCTGCCGGGACCGATGCTATTGGCAAGCCCATGTATTGTCGTGCTCGCTCGCTGGTCGAATGTGGAGATGAGATTACTGTTGTTGACATTCGGGTGTAACTCCCGAAGACTTACAGCTAGTGCGCTACGACCACGATCCAACAAACCGCTCGAGTCATCGCTAGTGACGGGCCGAGAAGGTGATCGATTTTCTGACAGGGTTGTGTCTGTGTCCGCAAACACAGGTGCTTTACTAGGCGACGGCTCCCCATTGAACTTGGCAATCAAGGAGGTGTGTGCCTTCGTGCGAGGTAGTTCAGTAGGATAGTCGTATGTCAGCTTTTGAGGTGTGTCACCCGTTGGCTGGTATTCCCTTATCACTGTACTGGAGATATCTTCGCGAAGATCGGCTAGAGGTTGACACAAGTTGGCGGGTAATGGTTCAAGTGCCTCTTCTGCAGCTTTGATGTCGATTTCCATCTCTGAACCCAGCTCCTCAACCCGAGAGCACGTTGTTTGAAAGTGTTGACCAATGTTCGCATACGAGTCCTCTACTGTGCTGGAGAGGCTGTTCAATGATGTTGCATGCTGACTGTCATGCTCCGAATTCTGTGAGCGAGCACGTGTTACGAAATCGTCGAGAGAAGTCATCTGGGCATCAAGATCCCGGATCTGTTCGTCGACAACCCGCACTGTTTCAGCATGGACGGACTTGGTCGTCTTTTGAATTGAGGTGCTATGAGTATTCGCGGCCTTCAAATATCAGTTAGCAGTAATTCCAAATAGCTGGGTCACGCGCATAAGACTTACGGTCCAGTCATCCTGCAGCTTGGATTTCAGTGTTTCACGAGAGGTAGCAATCTCGTCAAGAAATTTCCCTTCTCGTGCATTCCAACTATCCATGCCTTTGGCATACTGCGCCACACTCCCCCCCAATAAAGTACTATTGTCTTCAACATTCTGCCGAATCAGAGTTGCCCTGTTTGCTAGGCGGGTTTCCTGGGCCTTGGCTTGGGAGTCAATGAGAGAGGTGATCTGTGCTAGCAAGAGACGGCGTTCCTCTCCAGCTTCTTTCCTTTCTTCATCTAATGCATTCTGTATCTGAATTGAGATCGACGCATTGGACTGCGAGATTTTCTCAGTAGCATCCTCTAGCTGCACTCTAAGATCGTCGGACTCTTTCCTCTGGGCAGCGTTGTGATTCAATAATTCCTCAAAAATAGCTTTGAAGTCTTTACCTAAGGCGGAATATGACGTATGCAAGAGGTTGTGGAATGTACCAAGCTCGCTGAGGACGTCCTCTGCGATTGTTTCCGCGGCTGTCGCGATCGCACGGAGACTCTCGTCAACCCGTTCTTTAATGTTGTCGCGTACTTCTTTGATTTCTTCTAGCACCTGATCCATCTCTTCTTTCGACTTCTGCCTCTGTTCTACTAGCTCCTTCTTCGACGAGGAAAAGACTTCGAGGTTTCGATTAAGAAAGGACTGCGTTGATGAAAGCTTCTCTAGTTCTGCCTCGACAAAGGTTTGCATGCGTTCTGATATGCTAGAGATGTGTTGTTGCTGTTCGCTCTGGAATTCCTCTATGCGGGCTTCGACTAAGGATGTAATTTCAGATACCTGGTCTTGAGCAAGACCCCAGTTTGTGCGATTCAGCGCCTGAAGATCGGATTTTCTCTTGTTCTTGGCATGTAGACCCCCAACATGCCCGACTGTTTGGTGAAGCGTTTTGATGAGCTTGTTTCCCATGACATGCATCTGTTCCTCTGTCTTTTGGTGTGCTTTGCGAAGAAGAGTTTCCTCAGCGAGGGTTTTGCGTGTGGCCTCCAGCACAAGCTCCGTCTGGTCCAAGACACCCTTGGTATCTTCTAGCTGTAGCTTCGTCTCCTCATGGTCTTTCTTCAAACCCATGAAGCTTGACGTTAAGGAGAAAAGTTCTTGCACCTTGTTTCGGAGGTTGGACTCCAGAGTCTCAATCTTGGCGGCTTGCTCATCGTTCTGTATTCGCCTCGATTCGCTGACTGTAGCCATCTCTTCGTAGCTCTCATTAGATAGATAGACTCCATTCCGTTGTCGTGTTGCAATCAGCTCGCTTTTTAACTTCTCGATTTCGTGCGCCAAATCCCTAAGTAAAGCGCCCTTCCGGATCATTTGGTTAACTTGGGGCTTGTTGCGAATGTTTTTGGCCCTGAAGGCATAGTCAAGAGTTGAGATGGTTTCCTCAAGGTTGCTCTTGGCTGGAGAAACGGTGGCTATAATGCAAGTTTTCGTTCGACCTCCGAGGGAGTCTTGCAAAAGACGGGTTAGCTTAGACTCCCTGTAAGGAATATGTGAACTGTGATCCACCAGAGCATTGATGACCCGCCCGAGAGTGAGGAGACTCTTGTTGATCAGGCCGGCCTCGGCGGCACGTTTGTTCTCAGCACCGGATCGTTGAATATTCTCGCTACCAGCGAGATCAACAAGGTTTAATTTTCCAGCACTAACCCAATCTTCACCGTCTTCGCCAGCCTTCTTGACGCAGGCCGTTATGGTGAAAACAGTGTGACTTCGACTGCTGAGATCATTGCATTTCGTAGCTGCGACCTGTCTCTTTAGACTACCCTCCTGGAGCAGTTTGATTCCCTCTGATGCGTTTCTGATATGGGCTTCCTCCATCCCCTGGACGACGGTAGTGGCGTGGCCTTTCCGGGACACTTCATCAAAAATCTTCAGCTTGGTGTTGTCGTCGACGGACATGAGATCTCGCAGCTCTTCGTTGTAAAGCTCGATGAAGGAGCACTTCACAAAGCTCTCGGTGTCTTCCGAATCCAGCTTCTTGAACAGCGAGTGCAACACACGGGGGATGATACCGGCCTCATCAGACAATAGGCCGAATGTCTCGTCCATATCTCCCGACATGGTGTATGTTTTACCCGTGCCGGTCTGACCATAGGCGAAAATAGTGCAGTTGTAGCCGCTCAACATCTATCCCAGCCGTTAGTCCACGTATCATCTTGTAGGGGTTCACGGAACACAAACCTCCTCCAATATGGGCTTCACGACATCCTCGTATACCATGCTCTGGTCAGCGGCCGGAGAAAAAACACGGTCGAAGTTGTAGGTTTTGTTGCTGAGGGCGCTAGGTCCCATGGACAGGTCGACGACGCTCCCTCGAACGGCATCGGTAGACACAACAACGGCGCTACTCTCGCGCTGTTCCTGTTTATTTCGACCGCGACACCGTACGACGACTTGGATGTTTGTCTCTTGTGCGCTGTCTACCTCGAAGTCACGCTCCTTGCGCTTCGTGCCTGTTGTTGCAACCGATGACAGGGACTCGGCGGGCGACGCAGCAGCGGCACGATCGATTCTCGCAGCGGCGACGGCATGATGCATGGGCTGCCTTAGATTCGATGTTCTGGATGTGGCGAGACGGGAGCCCATGCGAGCTCCGGTGCCTGACCGCACATTGGCGGTCGATGCAGGCGTCTCGCCTCGACGAGACCGGCTCTGCATGGGAGAAGTGGCACAGTGAAATATAGATGTAGGTAGGGGCTAATTTGTGCTGAGCTTGGTACCAAAAACCGAAACTCGAAAATCCAAACCAAGGTCGCAATTAGCTAAAAAGACAATAACAACAACGAGCACAGTTAAATCGAGGTCATCAAGAGGGCATGCTTGGAGTTAGAACGGGCATATCACGAAGGTACGGCCTTCGGTTATCTGGAAGACGCGTTGGGGCTGCTGGGGCAGGGGCAGGCATGTGGAGCAGGCGGGCAGTTACATCAACAGAAGATTCTTGTGTTGCTGTTGCCCTGGAAACAGCCTTTCCCCACTACTTCCCACTGTAACTCCCCACTCCTGCCCTCCCTTCCCTGAACTGCTAGGTACCTAGATTTGTACCTACATATATGTATATAGGTAGCATCAGATACTTAGTGTACATAGTACATATGTATTGTAGCCTTCATGGCGAAAATAGACTTTGTATTGAAGTTTTGTTCAGCGAGAAGCGACCTAGGTGCTTCACGAGAGGCTGAATATGAGATGTAGGTTAGGAAACTTTGCTTTCTAATCTTCACATTACTTCGCAACCCTATCGTTACATACAAGTACAGTACTTCTATATTTGGGAGTATCGATACCTACTTAGGTTGGAAGTAAAGGGTCTGTAAAGGGAATAAGTACCTACGCACCTTGGCTAAAACCCCCGCAGCACATGGAGATAGGTAGGTGTTTTGGGCAGGCTCTGGACAGCAATAGGCAGTTATTCAGATACCCCACGTAAGTACTACTGTATGTAGGTAATTAACTTGCGGTCTAGACCTATAACAGTTAGAACCGATCTTCCATTGATGGACTGCAGGGTCCATGGGGTTAGGCTGGGCTCGGCTGGTCTGGCTGATCGCATGTGCCTGCTGACCGGCTCTGACCGGCTTACCGTACTTAGGCGGTCCCCTCCCACCTGCCCCTCTATCATCTAGTTGCGCTGCTGTACCAGATGACGTCCTTGTAGGTAGCGTGTAGCTGAAGTACAGACACAGCCGCCGAAGAGTGAAGCTGATCACTACCCTGATGACCAACATGACCTCCATGCCACGATTCATTTGACTTTCTCCGATATACTATCAGCTACATTCGGAGGGACTTGTTTCAACCAAAAATTAAGCACCTGCGCTTCTTTTACGCCTACCAAGAACAAATCTTTGTAGTAAAAGGGCGGCTTTGGTCTACTCTTTCGTGAGAACACATACTGCTAGATCCGGCTCCCTGACCTACCACGCAACAACCCTGAAATCGATGAGCGCCTGAGATTCCGCGACGTCACCTCTGTTGGAAGTCATCGATGGTGACACTAGTTTTGATTTAACCCGCGCTCGCCCTTGGCTATCTTGTGCCAGTCCAGCACACCAATGTCTGTCTTCTCCGCTCCTCTATACCCGGGCGTCGGGTTAGGCTTTCTAGGTACGTGATCATATAGTGCCCGCCTCTTTCAAATGTACCAACATAGGGACGCATACAAACTGAAGGAGAACTGACCGCTTCCCGCCTGCAGTGCTCGGCGCATTTCTTCACGACGTTCTCACGAGACTTAAGGCCGAGCCGCAACGATTCCCTAAATTCGACCTGATATACTCCAAAGAACACCCCGTTGCCGAATCTGTAACTCTCACGCTACCGGCTAACGGGATCCGTTTGCGCTTCGACGGCCCTGAGCAGCGACTGCGTCTTGTCGAGGTTATCGACTTTACAAAGAATCGCATTACTTACAATGATAAGGACATTGCCAAAGCTTCCAGCGCCCAAGGGTCTTCGGTATCTCCTAGAGCGGGCAGCGACGCTTCCAGCGGTCCTGCCTTCAAAAACATCTACCACCGACTATTCGGGCCAACATATGCTGGTGAATTTATCCCCACAGACCGTCGTGATGGCATAGGGACATACGTCCTATCCTATCCCGGAATTGCCTTTAACTTTCCGTTGCCAATGTCCTCCTACAAGCCAGATAAAGATGTTGTTTCATTACTCTCATCCACATCAAGCCAGACTGCGACTTCTGTGGCCGTTTTTAGTGGTAAGTCGTGGGCGGCTGCTAGGGAAACACTTTGGACAGAGCTTCTCCCAAGCATCAAATCAGCACCACCCTTCAGTAAGAGCAAGGATGTTGTACCCGATGAGATCTCTCTTGTCAAGATACATGGCGGTGGACGCTTGCAGTTGTTCAAGAAATGGACCAACAACTCTGTATGGATTAATCTCGGAGAAACTACTGTGCAGGATTTGGTCATCGAATTAGGCCCTCCAGATGCCATATATCGGAAGAATGATCAGCGCATGTATATCCACAAGAACCGAACATCGAGTCACAGTAGATCTAGATCGAGCGGCGCCGATTACAAACGCCCAGATGATCTCACCGACACAGATCAGTCATTTGTCACATCGGGATCTGAAGATTCAGGCGACGAGGCAGTTGAAGATGACACAGTAGATGACTTGTCTGGGGAATGCTTTTATAATTACTTCTATCAAGGTTTTGATATTCTCGTATCACTACCCCAGCCGCCTTCACGCATAAACCCATCACAGTCAAATGTGCCTCCGGATCAACTTCCAGGAGCAAGTATCATCAAGAGCTGGAAACCAAATCGTCTAGTTGCCACTAAAGTTGTGTTGCACGGTAATGTTCCGGGCTCGTATCCTTTTAATCGACACCGTCGCTCACGGTGGGAGATTGCCTACCTCGGCAAAACCATGGATGATCTTCCCATCAATTCAGAGACACCATTTGGTGAGATAGAAGAGGCACTACGAGAAGAGTGGAAGAGTACCTATGCATCCGAGGAAGATGCCAAAAACCGTCAACGGGGAATGGTACTTAACCGCGGTTGGGGTGATAGTCCCGGAAGCAGTTGCGAGTTCCTGGGTGGCTGGGAAGATAGCAGTGGTGGTATTAACGCCAAGAAGTTGGACGGCAACGAGGAGTCTACTACCACCCTGTACGGCTTTCCAGGCCTTGTGTTCGAGGTCTTGAAGAATGAATATGTTAGTGCAGTTACGGTTTACTGAATCCAGGCTGGCCCTCGCGGGATGCGATCTCGTAACGCTTTTATGTTTATTTATGGTGTACGGAGCGGGAGGAATATACTTCTTGTGACTTTTATTAGAGCGTAAACGGTCAACCTATTGGGTCGGATATCTAGGTTGGGTTGGAATCGGGCCGGATTTCTAGCTTAGAATAGGATTCCACGTAACGTCATAATACTATCAATTGATTTTTGGAAATGTCTTGTTCAATGGGGGTATTATCTCTATCTTAAATCTATAGGTATGCCTCAAATAACTTAGCCGTGTCTAAAACCATTTGATCATAAGGAATCCATTCTTGCCCAGTTGCCTTGACTGCTTTTGAGGAGTCCAGATGGAATTTACTCGGGTCGGAAGCGTAGCCGGGTTGATAGCCCTCTCCAGGCGTCCCTTCTTTGATAATGTTTCGCCTCTCGGGGTAAGCTTTGCGTAGGATGTCAGCCACAGCCTGAGGAACGCCCACGTTCCCGTTCCCGCCTACGATGTAGCGTTCACCGCCGGTCGTCTCGGGGTGCGACGCCGCCCATTCCGTCATTCGCGCGACATCGCGAACGTCTACGTGCGAGCCATGCCCGGTGGGTCCCGGGGGAAATTCCTGGCCGGCAAATACTTTCCAGATGAACGATGTCGTCTCGGGGATGTCCTCGGGCGAATCAGGCAGGTATAGTGGGGGACCGGCGACCCAGCTACGTAGTCATTATCAGCACATTCCACTTGAACTGGAAAAAAAAAAAAAACGTAATTACTAGCTCGAGAAGGAGGGCAAGCACTTACCAAGGATTCACCGACGTCGCCGCAAACGGCGACTTCTTCTCCCCCATCCACTTCCAGAACGCGCGCTCCGAGGCGACTTTGCTAGCGGCGTAGATGATATGGCCATAGGCCTTGTCCCCGAGCTCGCGGACCTCGTCCTCGGCGCGCGTGTTCCAGTCCTTCTCCGTGAACGTCGCGAAGCCGGGCGTCGCCATGCGCACGGCGGCGACGCTGGACATCAGCACGACGCTCTCTATCGCGTCCCCTGCCCGCGTGGCCTTCAGCGCGGACTCGAGGATCGACAGCGTCCCCTGCACCGCGGTCCCCACGATGTACTCTACGTCCCCGCTGTCGAAGACCACGGGCGTCGCGAGGTGCGCGACCGCGTGGCATCCGCGGACGGCGTCGTCGAAGGCGCCCGGCGCCCTGATGTCGCGCACCGACACGAGCTCGAAGGACCCTGCTGCTTGGGCGGGCGCGAAATGCTTCGCTAGGGATTGCGCGCTGGGACTCGAGAGGTCGCGGACCGTGCCGCGGACTGTCCAGCCTGAAGACAGGAAGCGCGATACGGTCTGCGCGGCTATGAACCCGTTTGCGCCGGTGATGAGGACGCGGCGGGGGGTGCTGGCCATGGTGAGTATTGGGGTGGTTAATCTAATGGGTAATAGACTTGGTGTTCGGGTTGATGGGTAACTCAGGCGCTCTATGGGGGTTTTTTTTATATATATTCGAGAAGTAGATGATGATGACTGCACGATCCTAAGACGACGATGTCTACAGCTTCTTACATTTATATAGGAAATGCATATCTATATACAATGTCACTTATGTATGAGCCGCAAAGCTTCGCTGAGCTTAGTGATGATGTCTATCTCACCTAGTAAGGTAAGTTAGATAACGCAGGCTGTCTCCGGCAAAAATGGACATTCGCAAATACGAGCAAAAGGCTTCGGAGATCGTCTGATGCCGATGGATGATGTCTGTGCTTGGTCTACTTACCGACGTATCCATTGCGTGAGGCGGATCTAAAGGCCGATAGATAAAGAGAGATCCTTAGACATCCACATCATTATGCCCGAAATACCCACCAAATGGGCCCGTTTCGGGCATAGGCAACGGCGGCAAGGTAGATCCGGGTTTTAGGTTGAAGCTTGTTACGTAGTATGTGCTTTTACGTAGATTTGGTGATGAGAAGTTTTAAGGACACGGAGATAACACGAGTTATGAGGATCTTCTTTATGCCCGATGAGTACCGGTAGACTAATTTCATGCTAGGATCCATTTCGTACTCTGCCTTCCGCGGAAGGTTGTTGGCGACGGAAGTGGAGTCTCTAGGTATGAGTAATCTAAGAAGGTCTGTCTCTATGGAATGAATGTATTCAGTTGCGCGCGCAATTCAATCCGAACTCGTCATGCGTTCTTTGACTTGTTCCGCATTAGCTTCTTGAAGTCCTCGAAGATCTCATACTAGTATGTCATCAGTCAATCGGTATGCTTGTGGCTGGGATGCTACACTTACCGCGTCCTTCGTTGCTTGTCTAGCTCCTGGCCATGACCTTCTACCACAACCCGGTATTCCCTTGGGGTTAGTATCGAAAAGGCGCCATGAATAGTTGTTCATTGGGCCTTTGGACAGCCATGTCCACAACTCATGATCATTCCACCATAGACTCCAATTTTGGGTAGTGAATATGTGGTTGAGGTTGTCATATAGGCCAGTGCCGGCTGCATCATGCAGGAACCTATAGAACGAATACCCCTGCACATATCCAGGACGCATAGACGGCTCTGTTTGCCATTGGGTCCGCCACCACGTATGATACGCATCCACCTGTGCGTTCATTTCCTCTAGGGAGGGTAGGAGAGCTGGAGAGCGATAAGATGTGTCCTGGTGTTGCTTTAATGCCGTCCTCGAATCTTTATGCGTTTCAGCGGCCCATATCTGGGAGACAGCCATTGATGCAAGCTCTGAAACACACCAGACATTTTCTTGAGGTGCTATCCAACTGAGTATTGCGACTGAGGAAGCATGGCGGGGTGGAAATATCATTTGAAAGAGTCGAGGGAGATGTGGCTGATGCTTCTCGCTTATTGACTCTTCCCCGGCACTGAGCGTTGATAATTTCTCAGTAGTTCGCAAGGGCATTCCCATTGCACCGTCCATCTCAAGCTCGGGCATGATCTTGAAATCTAACTCATATCCGGTGCAGAATATCACAGCATCAACCTCGACAACTGCGCCGTCATCCAACACTACTTCGTGTTCTCCACGGAAATCCTTAAAGCCATGAGCAGGCGTGATGTCTCCACGACGTAAAGCTGGGATGAAGTCTTCTTGTACAGCAGGGTGGACATGTGCCATGCTGGGAGCTGGCACTAATCTCCAGTCTTCTCGCACTCGCTTCTCAGTGTACTTCCACTTCTCTTTCTCAGAAATGCTGGTATCAACTGGCTCAGACCTTGATGCATCAGATATCATCTTGTTGATCATGAACTTGTCACCGAGTGGGCCCATCAACGTTGGCACTAGATGGTCCATTAAATACTTCAAGCGCAGAGCAGACCATGAGAATTGCGTGTCCAGGGGAATGCCATCGTCGCCATAGCGAGAAACGAGGATACGACCGCGTCGATAAGATTGGTATACTTTCGACGCATGCTTCGCTAAGGATAGTGACACTTCGCAGGCTGTATTGCCGATCCCAACAACGAGGACTCGTTTACCTTTAAAAGCCTCGGGACTTAATTTACTCGTTGTCAGGGTAGAATGTTGGAAAGAATTTGAGTTTCTTACCTCTTGAAAGACTGGCTGTGTATCACAGTGCCCTTGAATTTGTTCCTGTTTGGCATAGGCGGCCACAGCGGTACGCTTTCACAGCCGTGGGCGAGCACCACCTTGTCGAAAGAGAGCACAGTGGACTCGCCTGAGGTTGTGTTATGAACGTCCCAGCTGTCGTCAACCGCATTCCGAGTGATGCGCTCGACGGTGTTGCTGAAGCGGATATATGGGTATAGGTCGAAATGGGACGCATATGATTGAAAGTAAGCCGCCACTTGGGAACCCGTGAAAAAAGTAGGATAGTCTGAACCACCACGTCGTTAATTCGATCACGCAAGTAGATCAACATTTAAAGAATTGAATGAAGCTCGTGTGTGCCTACCTTTAGGCACTGGGAAGTCGCTAAATCCTGACTACGCAATCGTTGTGAGTATCGGATGCTGGGCTGTAGTCGCCACACAGCATGGCTTACTTACGACGAACTTGCTAATATTACACACTGTTTCCTTCAACACGGACGTGCAGTTGACATCGTCACTGAAAGCCCAAAGTCCACCAATCTCATTTCGCCTTTCGAAGGCGACCGCATTGAACCCTTCTTCACGAAGGCTCTTTAGAGCAGTTAAGCCTGCGGGGCCTAGGTTGATGTTAGCAAAGATAGCCTGGTGTAGGGAAGAAACAAGGAGGCGTTAGTACCCAGGCCGATGACTGCTATCCGGACCTTGTCCATTGTTTAGAGTCTACAAGGATGGCGAGGATGATAGGAAGTTCGGTTGATGGCAACGTAGAAGAAAGCGAGAAGCTGCTTAGTTACTGTTAATATTACTATTCCAATCTGACAGTAGTGCCACGCAACTGTATCATTGGCACGACACTATTTACGTGATTTCGCAAGCCATCCTATACACATTCTAGGTAATAACAACTGCGTACCCTCTAGATATAATACCTACCTACCTGATACTTAGTTATAGATGGCTTGATAGACCAAAATGGCTGTTGCTGCCGTCTGTCGTGGGTTTATATGGCTGAAAGAGACTTGTAAAGTAGAGTACAGTATATGCGGAGACATCTACTGTATGAGAGCACTGTTCTGGCGAGATACTCTTGCACCGCATAACTCGATATTTAGCTTTTACGTACCTAGGTACGGAGGTCGAGGTCGTATATGTCCACCACCCTTAGTATTAGCCTACCGTCCCAAGCCTGATGTAAATTTACGGCCCAAACCTACATAGATCTAGGTAGGTAGATAAATTTATGTATTTAGCCGATGTTTAGTGGCTGAGCCAGCTGAGGCTGGGTAAGGCGACGAATCAGATGATGTACATCTTGTGTCCTCCTGCTCACATGAAACCTGTTCCAACAAACGTAAAAGACCGGCTCTACAAAACTTAACCTTGATCAAGAAAATCGATGACGAGAGCATCTGTGCAGCGACTCAACAAAGAACGCGACGCGACGCGACATTATTGAGTGAAAGCGAAACAACTACGTAAAGCATCATAGCTATTTCTGCGTTGAGTTTTCTTCGGGCATTGGGAACTTTATCAAAGCGAGGAAAGCATATACCGGTACTGAACTGGGCAGTTCGTACTTCGTAGTTAGTAGGCGGGGCGGGTATCCAAGTTCAAATGCCAAGCACTGAGGGGTATGAAGTTACCTCTTACCAGGTACATACCAACTTACATAGTAGGTAGCACCTAGCATACCTACACTCTGTTATGGGAGGAAGGGGGACACAATAGGTCAAATTGTATGATATCTCATGCTTGGCCTCATATATCATGGTGCGAAGCCGTTCGGTTCATACTTGCACTGGTGCAGCATGGAGGTAGATAGAGGTGTACCTATTTGGATACCTATAGATACCTACTTAGGTACCTATATAGGTACTTATCTAGTGGCTAATTGTTCATGGAGCCTCCCAACAGTGGTCGGTACTTGGTAACGCTGGTAGCGCTGGTAGCGTAGCACTATAGACAGCTCCAACGGGCGCTAAAATCACCTAAGCTTCACACACCTGCGAAAAGGTACCTATATTGAGAGCTGCTTCAACATCATTGTTCCTGCCTCCTCATTTTGAATTGTTTGCTGCAATAAATCACAAGGAGTCAGTCGAACTATCACATGCGCTTATACAATAGTTTAATTCCATCAATTGAGAATAGCAGACCTACGTAGCATTACATCATAGCTCATTAAAGTTTTGGGGACTTTACATACTTTAAGGCCTGTGCTTTTAGCTTTCTTAGCGTCCCCTGCCAACCTGGGGGAACATAAACAAACAACATCGCGCCCGCGCTTCTACCAGAGCTCTCCTTCTCCTCTACAACATCATCACACACACTCGCATCCGCACTCGCACCGCACTTCACTTCACTTTGAACTGCACTCTGCTACGCTTTCAATCATACTTGCAAATCAACTGTTCTTACCCCAACTGTTTTTCAACTGCTTCCATCGTGATCCTCATCGCGTGCTCGCAACTACTTTCAACCGCTTCCCGCCTGCTTGACCACCTTCACCACGCAAAACACCATCTGCTGTCCTTCAGTCAGTCAGTCAGTTAGCCAGGCAGTTACAACCCCGCGTGAGCCGGGTCTTTCTGAACTGGCCATGGATTCCTCAAAGAGGACCCAGGTGCACAAGTCCCGCATCCTCAGGGAGATGCGTAATCACGCCGAGCACCCTTTCTCTCCACCATCGTCGACTGGCAGCCACGGCACAGTCACCCTTACTTCAGACATTTCCAACTTCCTCCCCCCTCAGGGAGACTCAACGCATCAACCGATGACGCCCATGATCAACACCTCGGCCTTGCACCGCAAGTTCCCTGAATGGTGGCAGAGGGACGACACAACTGGCAAGGAAAACAAGCAGCCTGCCTCCCCAGAGCCTGCCCGCAATGATGTTAGTAAATCGTTTGCCACTTCTTATGATAACACTGTCATCCACCGCCGAGATCCGGCGCGTTAGTCGCGCAGCCCCGATTCGGTGCTTCGGAACAACGTGAGACCGCCATCGCGTATCCAGTGCCACAAGCGGATCCGTCCCCATGATGTGCGCCCGGTACCGACTCCGGCTTCTTCGTCCTCATTTTCTATGCGTTCTCTTTCATTTGGCTCTGATTTTCGTGATGTTTGTTGTCCCGTGTTTATATCTGATGATCAGGCGGCTAACCAAATACTCATGCAGACTTCATCCATATTCGGCAGTAATTCACCCAGATTGCGTGTGCCACATCAGGCTCCAATTGCAGAGGTTGAGGAGACCATGGAGTTACCTCCTCTCCATCCTACATCAGGAAATTTGACCAAACTGCTGAATACACTTCAGACAGCTAGATCTGAGAAGGTCCAAGCAGAGCAAGAATCTGTGAAGCGATCATCTCAGATCTCACCCAAATCTCAGCCTAACACCGGATTCTCCGCTGATGCAGTACGCCGACCTAAAAGACAACCACAACTCAATATTCACAGCACTTCGAGCCCATCTATTCTTAACCAGACGGCGCATTCCTTTTTTCTCCCTCAATTCAGCCATCTTGATGATTTTCTCACCGGCACCTTGAGATGGTCATCCTTCAAAAACGGCACACCAATCTTCGTCAAGCATGGCAGAGTCCACGACAGGGTGACCAAGAGATCTCCAGACCACCATGCTGACTTCGAAGATGTCAACATCCCCAAAGAAGAAGAGGAAATTTTTGTTTCACTGGATAAGATCCGAGATGAAATACAGATATTACAGGAGCACGATGAACATGTATCAAAACAAGCTGAGCAGCTACAAAGTGAGGTGGCTGAGCTTCAGGACCATATCGCCAGACTCAAGTCGCGCAAGGACAGCGCGATGGGTTCAGACTCGGATAGCTCCATGATTATGCAGCTCACTACTCAAAAATCACGTAAGTCTAGCCACGGATAATAAATCATTTATTTTCTAACAAGTCAAATGATAGAACTCGCGGAGAAACTCGCTTCTCTTCGAGCTGAGCTTGACCAAGCCAATCGCCGGATAGGGTCGAACGAAATCCACAATCAGTCTATCGTCGCAGAGCGTGATCGGGTTCTTCAGCAAGCATCCGACATCATCAAAGAACGTGATGATCTTCGGGATCAAGTATCAAAACATGAGGTCACCATTGATCGTCTTCAAAATCGTAACGACGCCCTTACTCGGGAGAAGGTTGCACTCGAGCAGGATCTTCAAGGCGCAGAGGAGGCATTTAATGCTCTTCATCAGCAGTACGCAAGATCTGAGCTTCTCGTTAAGGACTTGAAGGACGACAATCTCCGGGTTGAACGGCAATACGAAGGTCTCTATAATAGCAACCAGCACCTTCAACGTGAGAACGACGAGCTTGAGCGTAAAAACAGCGATCTACATAGCGAGGTTACCAAGTTGCAGAAGCGTATCACCGAGTTAAACAGAGAATTGTCACAGAAGATGGATACCCAATATGCACAGCAGATTCAAGGTGCCGTGCCTAACCTGAGCAAGGAAAAACTCACCAAGATGACTCATAATTGGGAGTCATCGGACAGATTTACTGTTGTGAGCGAGACGTCGGCCAAGGCCACGACTTCTCGGATGCATCGAATGCACTTGCCTCAGCGCGACAACGACACTAGAGAGACCAATCTGACAAGAGATTCTCGTCGATCATCTCAAGAATCTAGGGCTTCCATTCCTCTGAAGGGCAAGTCAAAGCTCGCCAAGCTGGCTCATGTGGAGCCAGAAGACAGAAACACTGTCGCGAGCGAGACGTCGGCCAAGACCACGACATCTCATACGGATTTGCAAATGCAGGATGATTATGCTCAGCAGATTGATCTCACACGAGAACCTCAAATTGAGACTGATGACGAGAACATGACATCAGCCCTGTTTATTGACGATATCACTATGGATTCCAACAGAAAGTTTGCTCAGAAGAAAAAAACCAAGAGTGGACACACTGTTCGGGTTATGTCACCTGTTCTATCGGAGACCGAGCCTTCTATACAGATGGAGCAGAAACCTGCTGAGAAGCAAAAGGGCAAGGCCCCCTCTCAGGTCCTCTCACCATCCGCTAAGCACGTCTTGACCACCTTGGAGGACCACGAGTGCAATAATTGCGCGGTTTGTACTCGTATTCGATCCAGCCGACATGTTTCAAGCGAAGAGTGTGGTAAGAGGACAGTCCGCATTGAACGCCCCATGTCAGCCACGGGCCGCACGAAGAAGCAAACTTCTACTTCCGAGTATACCTATGAAGACCAGCCGACTCTGCGACCTTCCCAAGATCCTGCTATTGCATTCGCCAAAGTCAAAAAGGTTCTCGAGGATGAGAAGAAACATCTTGAACTCAGCCTGGCACAAAAGACGGCTGAATATAATACATGTGATCCGGCTGTAGGCAAGCGACACTGGAGAAAGCTTGATGCCGAGATCACGATCCTCCGCAAGCGTCTGGCTTTGAAGCGAGAACAAATCTACAACTTGCACGACGTGGAGGTGAATCTAGAGAGGGCGAATGGACAATGGACGATCCCAGAAACTGTCGACATGACAATCGCAAGTGTCATGAGCAAAGATCCGACCTGGAACGGGATCTACTGATCGCTGCTGTTCGACTTACCATCAGAGAATCTACCCTGTTTTGTTTGAACAAGGAGCCGCTTTACACAAGGCTTGGTCTATGGACTGAAACAATAATACCAAAAACACCAAAAAAAAAGTATCGGTTTAAATCTCAAATTAGGCTTCAAAAGGCAATGGATGGTCTCAACCAGAATCAACATCTTTTAGAATGATGAATTGGCGTTCAAGGCGTTCAGGTTCACATCGCGATTGCGCGAAAGGCACATTTTGCGAATTTCGGCCCTGTTACGAGTATGTCTTGATTAAGAAGACATGATTCGGAGGATAAAGTCATCGATGGGGATTTGGTCTCCACTGCATATAATGCATACTGTTTGTGAATTTCGACCAATGGCTGGGATTGGTCTCACTTGTGGAGGTATATGGTTCTGAGAATGGACCATAAATAATAAGGATTTGGTGGAGGAAGCAGGAGACGCAGAGACGGGATTGTGAAACGGGGTTGGATTTGACTACGGGAAAGGAAAATTGTGAACGGCGCTACCTAAAATCAATTTTCGATCCTAGTGGCCATAATGGCACATGGAATGGCGTCATGGTCGTTGGTGTATGAATATGGGTGGTCTAAACATGGGTATGGTGATGGCATTTTGGCGTTCTAGCATTGTTACTGAACGCATGGTTTGGTTGGGTATGGTTTGCACAAAATTGCATAGCCTGCTGGCGTTGGGTACAGGCAGAGGATTATTGTCTTGTCAGACGAACCGCACAAAGTTGCGAAGGGATGCTTTTCAATGCGTTCGAACGAGTATATACTATCGGATACGCTCGTTTTGTTATACAATATAACACTTCATCAAAATATCTTGATTGTAGACTCTTTGGTAATTGTTAAATGTGCTGTCTTCGTGTCCGTAGTGAAGCTGAGTGGCCTATGGAATGAATAACATACACGTTCTATGTAACAGAACAATAGCCTTGTTGAGACGGCAAAGAACATCGTTTCAGTAAAAATAAATCTATAAATATATATAACATAATCAGCCTTTCATAGAATTTCTATTACTGAGCATCATTAACAAAACATACTTATCAACATTGACTAACAACGATCCACAACATTCAATACTAGCATATTCATTCAAGATGATCTTTTACAGCATCAGCCTCCTAGTTTACCGGGACAATGCAGCCGGTGAACGGGAAATACTGGTAAGATATCTTGCCTCGGAAGCCATGGTCCTATCCCAGGCTCTAGAACCCGGCAAGGAGCCGATTCATTGTGCTCAGCGACTGGCTATGCGGCATCTTGGAGTCTACATTCCATATCGCGACCTAAGCCGCAACGCATCGGTCACGGTAGAAAGAGCCGGGGACGCGAGAGGCGTCCAGGTCTTTCTAGTGCCCTCCACGGCGCAGATTGAGGCCCTCACTCAACAAGAAACTCAAGGGTGGAGGTATTCTTTCCTCCCGCTTTCATCGATGACTAGCCTCTGGCTTACGCCGGAGATTGCCGTCGATCGAGAGTCGCTTGAATATACCGCGCTGGGCATTGACCAAATTATCCCACCGGATGGATCCTTGACGGCGGAGATAGTGAGCCCTTAATTACCTACCTAGCTATGTCGGAGATCTGAAGATCAGCCGACAACTCGCCGACTAGCTTCTATCCGCATTATTACTCGATTGTAATAAGCTAGCTACTCACTCTGAAGACGATTAACTCCCTTTTAAATTTAATCTCTTAATGTTTCTTTACTAGTTAACCTACTTGATAGCTAATCTCAATAATATATTAAAAAACTGGCTTTATAATCCTTTTGCTCATATTAGTAGACTTTTTTCCCTTGTGAATAACTATTGATATTTCAACTTATTGACTCTTATGCAGTACACAGTTTAGAATTGTATTAAACGGCGAGTGGGCAACAGCTAGCGGCCATATATTAAGCATGCGCAATTGATTGAAGGCTTTCTAGCAATTGGATGTACTGTCTTCATACCTGTACTGAAGCTGAGTAGCTTCTGATGTTCTCATGTCTCTACATATATACAGCTTCGGCCATCAACACCTAAAGAGGTGGATAGCTCTACATTTCAACATACACTAAGTTGACTATCAGCGGTGGGACTAACGGCCGCTTGAGGTTCTTACTGAACTCGGTAAGATAACTAAGAAAACTTGTACGGATAGACTTTACTGTGTTCACCGCATTGACTACAACATATCAATTTCAGATTCGATCTTTCACATTGTAGGTACGTGATTCAGACCAGCAATTCTGCTGACAATAACCTCGAGCAGGACAGCATCGCTGCCACTCAACAAGATTGTTGAAAGACAACTCGGAAAATGAGCAGCAAATACGTTCTATGCAGTAATAAAGTGAACAATGGCATTGTTCAGATACCGTTTGGTGCGGACAAAGAACATTGTTTTAATGAAGATGGGTATAAATATAGACAACATAATCAGCCTCTCATCGAATTCCTATCACTCAGCACCAACGCAATCAACGCATTCAACATTTACTTACTAACAACAATCCACAACACTCAATTTACTAACATCTCCATTTAAAATGATGTTCTACAATGTCAGCCTGATGGTTTACCGCGACACCGCAAACGGCGTACGCGAAATACTAGTGGGATATAATGCTTTCGCTGAAGAACGGGAATTCTACCTCCCATCCCACTCACTTGACGCCGAGCGCGAGCTTGACCCCGAGGAGGAACTCATCCCCAGTGTCCGGCAATTTAGTCTGCAGGCTCTTGGGATTGACATCCCAGAGAGCGCCCTAAGCCTCGAGGCATCGGTCACGATGCACACTGACGACACACCACAGAGAAACGTTCGTGTCTTTCTAGTGGGCTCCACGGAGGAGTTCGAAGCTCTTACTCAACGATATGAATTCCGGGGGTTGAGGTTCACTTTCATGCCCGCTTCCGCTATGCAGAATCTCTGGGTTACGCCGAATATTGTCGTCCCGCGAGAGGGTGTCATCCTCACTTTGGATAGAACTCTGGAGATATTGGAGGAGTAAATGGCTGAGTGGCAACCTACTGGCTAGGACATTTATGCCTCCATATTTACTATGATTCCTTACTAACCCACTCCTTTCCTAGCTTAAAATAGACATACCTTGCAATAAATTACCTTGATATAGATCGTCTTTTTCTTGTTAACTCTTTGTGCTTGTGAATGACTTCTAGCTTTTCAACCTAATAGCTTACAATTGTATCAAATAGTTGAGTGATCAGCTCTGTCAGAAGGTGACAGGCGATTGTAGAATGACGCTGGGGTGGCGTTGACAGCTGGCGACCATCTGTTAAAACATGCGCAGCTGCTCCCTAAAGCTAGCACAGCAACCACCCCACCATAGGAAGTAGGTACTTAGGTTAGTACCTTTCCTTTCCCATTGCAAGGACAAACCACCAAAGCCAAAAGCTCCAGCAATTGGAGGTGCCTCGTAAACCATTCTTGCTTTTCGGATCTGCCGACTTCTATATCATACACGTGTCCAACATGGCTGACGTAGAAATGGACGTTGACGAGCCCGGCTCTCCCCAGGCCACCCAGGCGAAGGTCGGCGACATGCAGACACACGCGAAAGCGACTGCTGTGCGCTCAATCGAGGGTTGGATCATCATGGTCACCAACGTGCACGAGGAGGCTGACGAGGAGACATTGCACGATAAGTTTGCCGACTTTGGTGAAATTAAGAATCTGCACCTGAATCTTGATCGTCGGAGCGGTTATGTCAAGGTAAGTCATGTGAACTACTCTCACCTAATCTTCGGTCTACGCTGCTTGCTTCATGACGCCTCGCCCAAGGAAACGTAGCCATAGAAACCTTAAAGCCTATCGAATGCTAACCGTCATCTTTTATTGATGTAGGGATACGCGCTCATCGAATATCCTACGCTCCAAGAGGCGCGGGCAGCCATTGACGGCGCACACGAGACCAAACTACTCGATCAGACCATCTACGTCGACTTCGCGTTCGTACGACCACCACCAGGAAAAGGAGCACGAGGAAACCGGCAGTCACACCGGGGGAATCGCGGCAGGAGCCGTAGCCGCAGTCCCGATGGTGGACGAGAGCGGGAGAAGGAACGGGACCGTGATGATAATGATGGACAGTGATCTGGACTATAGCGGGGTAAGGCGAAGTGTTAGGAACCAAAAATTATGGTGGTGAGGCGTTCGTTGGGTAGAACATGTGTTAGATTACCCAGTGAATTGTCGACATCGACCACTCGGGAATGGAGAACATGACGCGCAGTCATTGTCATTGGCTTTAGCCGATATGTCGCCAAGATAATAGACGTGTCGGCGCGTGATTTTGAGCTTGACTGGGTAAGGATCTGGTCTACAGTTAACTAGACATTCGCTAACTAGAATACAGAGCTTTGCAATATCGTGTAGTGAGTTCCACGCAATGAGGTGTCATAAGCTGGATGCCAGATGGGGAAAATAACACACTCGCAACCCAGTTGCGCGTATTAAATATTAATATAATGAAATGACGAGTAGTGACTGTTAGCAGCATTATTGATACTATGTTCATGTTTTGCGAAATGCTGTTTCCTAGGGATGCATTTAATGTTCTGTTAGTACTGGCTGTTATCGAATTTGAAGTACTCTACAGCAAATACTCGTATAAACCTCATTCATCATGATACTATCTACATGAACCCTCTATTATGGCTAGAGTCAGCCCTCAATCAAGGGGGCCAGTAAATTACGTAGTAGGTTGCCAGCCACCTGGCTGACTGAGCGTTAGAGAAATTAGTTGCCTCCCTGTACTCCTGGCCACGGCCACTCTAATCTGCTTCATTACTGCATGTTAACCAGATCTTCATGCTCCTGGTGAGCGTGAACACGAGGTGGTAATTGACGATATTCATGAACACATATGAGGGGACATCCTCTTACAACTATCATTATTCTAATCGGTTGCTTATATCTTGATAGGGTACTTTAACCGCAGCTTCTCACCGTACTTGGCAATAAAATAAGGTGCGGGAATGAGTACCAACGCCACGAAGCTGAGCAATGTATTTCCCCAACCAAGACCTAAAGCTTCATCTATACAGTTTTGAAGATTAGCATGGAAGCCCTAGTGTCGGGACTGATATAACTTACAGAGGAACGGCCCCGCTAGAGGGAGGAAAGTGCCCACTACATTTCTCGAAGATGCCAATGCAGCTGTAGATGACGCAGCATATTCCGGAAAGGCATCTATCATGTACGTCTGAATGGGAAGAAAAACCCCGATCATCCCCAGACCAAAAGCCACGAGTCCCGTAATTGGCGCGAGCCAAAAGGCCTGTTGATGACTTGACCACCCATACCACACGAATGATATGGGAATCAGAAACGAGAAATAAAAGCAAACTCGTAACCTGACTTCCGGGACGACGATGTCGTTGTTCCCTTTCGCATGCTTCATTACAATGCGGTCACTTGTGCTACCAATCGCAACAACCCCGAGAATGAATCCTATACCAATTCCTAGGTACGAAAGACCTGAAATCCCAATACTCCAGTGATATTGCTGTACGAAAACTCTCGTAATGGTTGTAAGGAGTAGGTATAGGAGTCCGTAGATAAACCCAGAATAAAGACACAGAATTCCAGTGATTGGCGACGTGAAGATGAACTAAAAAATAGAGCAACTCAGTAATACTTCTTAAAAGGGCCCCGTTCTGAAAGAACATACCTTCCAAGGTCGCAGCATTGATTGCATCAAGTCAATTTCTTTCGGCCCGTCTGAGCCTAGAGGTTCAACTGGCCCATACCAGTCTAAGCGGTGCCACCAGCTCAGAGGTCGACCTTGAAACGCGTGTTTCCTTGCCCTTATGACCCGAAGGTTGGTTTCCCTGCCCAAAAATACTTGAAGTAATACCGTTAGACTTCCTAAGATTAACAAAAACCAGAATATCTGTGTGCATCTATCAGTAGATTTCGGTCTGACGGGAAAGGCAGATCATTACCCATCTCCAGCCAGCCTTTTGTGATAGAAACCCACCAATTATTGGTCCGATTACAGGTCCTAGAAGAGGTCCCAATGCGAAGACTGCTGTGGCGGTCCCTCGTTCATTCGAGTCGAAGAGATCGGACACGATGCCGCCCCCGATCGAAAGACATGCTGATCCTCCTAGTCCCGCGAAGAGACGGAAAATGAGGAGAGAGGTGATATTTGGAGCAAGGGCGCAAGCAAGTTGCCAGATTGCGAAGATTGTGGTAGTGATGTCTAAAATCTATTGCAAATGGTGTCAGCTTTAAGATCTGAAGTTTGATGACCCAAAACTTACTACTTTACGGCCGTACTGCTCGCTCAAGGGAGCCGCGATGAGAGAACCGACCTATCTCATATGCTTAGTTTTTGATGTCGGCGGAATATTTCGAGGCTTATTCACCACATATCCTAAGATGAAGAAAGAAACCGTAAATGTAGTCAATGTCTCGGAGTCATTGTGAAACTCTGCGTTCATCAATCCCGTTGCCGGCGCGAGTATGGATGATGCCAATGGGCTGTTGCTGGACTTAAGCAGGCTACCGAAAACAGTTTCATTTGAAGATCTTTACCTAACGAGACAGAGCCAACTCGCAACCAGCAGAATCAACCATTTGGATCCGAGCCGCCAAGACCTGTGTTCATCAGCATGCATGACTTGCCCCTGGAATATTACACGACATCTACCTACCTTGGGTCGTCGCTAACAGTCGGCTCTTCAGTTCCCTGTATATCTGCAGTGACATCGAGAGTCTGCACTCGAGAAAGAGAAATAGAGGTATCTTTCAAGTCCATTATCGAAATTCGAGGAGAAAATGTGTAATTATATAACACGAAATTGAACAGATCATATTGCGTAACTCGTGTATTATACAATCTGCAGCTTGAAGATTATTATCTTGGCATACGTCTCTTGATCATCGACACTATTAGAGTGTCAGGGATGCTCGGTTATGTCACGTGTGGCACGAAGAGAGACACTGGAATAGGAAGTTTTCTTCATCTGGTATTGCCGATACCGACGAAATAACCGAGAGCTGCAGCGTTACCGATGAGATACTACCGAGATCACACACTATGATTGAGTAAGTCGAAACCTAATTCGGGACTGGTAGAACGGCTCTTATATCTCTAGATACAATTCATGTATTATGTGCATATAATACGGCTGCCGAGTACTGGTTGGCCGCAATGACAGGTCTTTGGTCAGAAGACTGGTCGTCCAGTGAGGAGGCTTAGTCACTTCAATCTAAGCCCGTCATCGAAATGGGTCCCCGATCTCAGAAAAGGAGTGTGTTAATCACAGGATGTAGTCCTGGGTCAATTGGCGAAGCTTTGGCAAGGGAGTTTCTTCTACTCAATGGTAGGCAATCGTACACGATGCTGTTACTATAAAAAGCTGAGCCCATACCAGATTTCACCGTTTTCGCAACCTCGCTACCGGGCGAAGAACTCAAAGAGCTTGAAGGGTTAGGAATTAATTGCTTTGAGTTGGATGTCACCTCGAGCGAAAGTGTCGAAACGCTGAAAGATCATGTGATTGGACATTTGGGTGATGAACTTGACGTCCTCGTCAACTGTGCGTATGTGTATCCTTCTATGGGAATATGAGACTGGCTTAGATGAGACTAACATCAACTAGAGGAATGAGTATGGCTCGGCACAGAGTAACTCTTATTCAAACCAAGTCACTAATCCTTTCCTAGACTATGTTATGCCAGCCCTAGACGTGGATATCAATGAGCTGAAGCGCATTTTCGACGTCAACGTCTTCGGGCTTGTCCGAATGACGCAGGCGTTTTCCACCCCCTTGATCAATCGCAAGGGACTCATTGTCAATGTAGGGTCTTTGGCCGCATATGCACCGTATGTTTTTGGGTCTTCCTACAATGCGAGTAAGGCCGCTTTGCTCGCCTATAGCAATACATTGCGGATAGAGCTGAGCCCTTGGAGGTGAGCAGCTTAACCTCCATCTTCCTATTCCATGGAGGCTAACACCACACTTAGCGTGCGAGTGATGACCGTAATAGCTGGACCAGTTGTCAGTGGTTTGATGACACGGAAGAAGAGAACACTACCCGGGGACTCCAGATACCAGCCTATTGCTGATTCTTTCGATCAGCGAACGACTCACGACAAGCATGGTGTTCAGGCGATGCCTACTGAGGAGTTTGCCCGATCTGTTGTCAAACAGGTGTTGAAGACTAACCCTCCGAAGTCATATTGGATTGGACCATTTTCGAGAACAGTCTGGTTGCTTGAGACTCTCGGCTTAAGTTCGGTGTGGTCTTGGTTCTTCCGGAAGAAATTCCAATTGTGGAAGTTAGATAGGAACTAGATTCACATTTCGCCAAACATATAACAACTCATAAGAGTCTCAGTAACGCCAGTAGAGCCTATTTCAATTAGGATGAAATGAATACTCATACCTGATTTCAGTAATTGAGAATAAACCTAAGTTAAACCCCCCAACTGTAGTGCTAAGAGGCTGTCTATCCCTTTAGATCGCCTGCAAAGAAATATATATACGACTCTACGAACAGGCGTGAGAATCATAAAGACGGTCGATAGATACATTAGGTACTGCTTATCTTTTAGATAGCCGAGCACCTGATTACTTTGCCGAGAGAATTATTCATCACGCTTTCAGGCCTTGACTTTTAGCATGTACAGTGTTATCGACAACATCATGCTTGAGCAAACTTAATCCGCTAGAAATCCTCCCATATGAATGATCGACCATGTGTTTTCATAGCTATGTCTTAATTTCCATCTATTTAGCGAGACTTCGAATAGATTGGCATAGCTAAGTCTGGGTCTGTAGATTCACGCAAGACTATTTTGACGATTCAGGGCAGTTATTGAAGGCTAAAGGACAGCATGTGAGACGTTTGTTTCTTCGTTCAACCGAATTTGTAAATACAGCTAGCGGAATTTTGAGAAAAATATAATCAGAGTGATACGAATGAGACATCTTGAGTATTGCACACAGTAATTTCATCAACCAAGTAAGCCCCTGATCCTTCTGTCGGAGTGGAGAATTCGAAAGACGATTTCACTAGGAAATCAGACTACAATTCTCGCTTGAGCGCTCATGACTGGCTCAGTTCCTTGACCCCTGACCCAATCTCCTTTCTGGAAACGATCAGACCTACCGGCGGTAGCCCTTCTCACCGCCCACTCCTTGAAAGTGGGGTATTCCTTAGTTGCATCAGAAGGCAAAGCCTTTCTACCAAGTGGCTTCAGAAGAACATCGTTGTTGGGGCGGGTGAAGTATGCAAGACTATATCTCATCCACTTCGCTTGATCTCCGGGAGGAGTTACCACTCGGTGAATGGTACTCTTCAGTTCCCCATCTGACCATTTGACAAATGCGTCGCCGAGGTTGAAAATAGCCATTCCAGGCTCGGGCTTGACGTATCGCCAGCCAGGCTCTTCTCCAGGGCCAACAAGGTTCTCTGGCATATAAATCTGGAGTCCACCCAGAGCATTGAACAACACGGTGAATGTGCCCCAGTCAGTGCTATACAAGAGTTAGTATTGGAAACAGATTCGTCACAGAGTTGGGAGTGCAACTCCGACAGACGGTAAATAGGCCTCTATCAAAGAGACTACCAGCTAGGTAGAGGATACATACTGTGGCTGTAAGCTAACGTGGGAACCCCCAGTCTTAGGAGGGCACTTGAGCAGACGAACGTGGCTGCCAGAATTGTTGCTATGACTGTGCAGTTTCGGCAAGAATTCCGGGCTCTCGGGTCCAAGGCCAATGGCGGAGGCGAGGATCGTGAGGAACTTGTCAGTGATGTCCTTGCCGAGGTCGATGAACTCTTTTAGATGCGCCTGCTTGTTCTTGATGACGTCGTTGTAGACAGCAGGCGAATGGCCATTGCCCTCAATGTCACCACAGCCAATCCAGTACTGCTCATTATTGTCGCGGGTGCCTTCCTCATCTACGACGGAAGCTCCGAGTCCCTTATATCTATGAGGCACGTTAGTAAAGGAGACGAGCAAGCGAATCATGGTGGGCCGAAACTCAACCTACCCAAGCAAAGTGTCGCCGTGCTTGAGAAAGCTGTCAGCAAGCTTCGTCTCAGTGGGAAGATTGAACGTCTCCTCAGCCAAAGCGAACATGTTGTTTGCTGCTGCTAGGAATTTCTTGCCAGTCTCGGAATCTCTAAAGTCGACGCGGAAAAATCCAATGTCCCTGCCGGACTTGATGACCTTGGCGATCTCATCGATATCCCCATCTAGAATCTTCTGGTGAGAGATGTTGGAGATCTGCGCAAAAGGCGTATCAGCAGGAAACTCGGGCTGCCCTTCTAGCCCCTTGAAGGCGTTTGGGATCGCAGTATTAGGTGATGCCATTTTCAAATCTGGAAAAAAGCTGAAATATGTTGAAACCTGCTCTTGATAGCACCGTCATTTCTCTTATCGACGGAATCTTGGAGAGGCATTTATAAGTTATGATTCCGCCCATCGAGATCTTCTATTCTGCTATCATTATCCTACGATGCCAACATCATCGCATCATCCCGAGTACGTGAATAAGAGCTGTCGTATGATATTGGAACTATGTTTGATGTTCCGGTAGTTCGGGGACATCGGTTGTTCGGTGGTCGCGGTTGAGATACGCTAAGCATTTGAAGGTGATGCCATTCATTTCATTTTGTATCACTTCCATCTTTGCCGAACGTGACACGATGTATCATTTCTTGTAAGCTGGTGCCATATTCTCGGGTAATTAGTATGTGGGGTCTCACAGGCAACCTGCGGCTTATTAAGGGATTGCGGCTCGGCAGCAATGCAACCGAACAAGTGAAGTGATCTGACATCGGATAATACTTAGTAGGATGCGCGTAAGACAGCTATCGTCGCTGAGGTCGTTCGATATAGTTAACAACGAAGTCCAGAACAAGCACCAAAAACCTAACAGATCATTCGACATAATCAACTTAGGCACTTTGTGATCCAATCATGTCATCGCTGGATATCTCAAAACTTTTCTCTGTCTCTGGCTTAGTCGCGGTAGTGACTGGCGGAGGGACAGGCATTGGCTTGATGATTGCTAGAGCGCTTGAACACAATGGTGCCAAGGTCTACATCCTGGGGAGACGTGAAGGAATCTTGAAGACTGCCGCGCAGCAGAATGCGGTATGTCTACTGTTATCACATCGCGGAGAAGAAAGTGATAGTTAATCTATACACATCTAGATCCATGGCAATATAATACCTATTGTCGCTGACGTGACTGATAAAGCATCTTTGGATGCTGTCGTGTCTCAAATTAGTCAGGAGACGGGATACATTAATCTTTTAGTCAACAACGCTGGAACTATTGGTCGCAGGCATAATGCTCTCACCCGGCCGGCGCCTTTCAGCGATATTCCAGGTCAGTTTGTGCACCCGAAAGGCGAACACGACCTGAGTACAGTGGACGGCATTCGCGACTTTCTCTGGAAAGATGAAGTTACCGACTGGGACGATACTCTACGGACAAATGTCAGCGGTGTCTGGTTCCCCAGCATTGCATTCCTTAGTCTTCTTAACAAGGGCAATGAGAAAAAGAATGTTGTTCAATCAAGCCAGATTGTGACAATTGGGAGCATTGGAGCTTTCATCAGGATTCTGGGCACGTCCTTCACCTATAACCCCAGCAAGGCGGCTGCAAACCATCTTGCGAAGATGATGGCTACAAATTTCGTGCAATGGGGTATCCGATCGGTATGTTATCGAATTTCTCACCTGCGGCTTTTGGGGGCGATCCTTACCAAACTTTTAGAATGTCATTGCGCCAGGAATTTACCCATCCGAGATGTCGGTCGGCCGGGGAAAGCTGGACGAGACAAATAGGAATCATATTCCAATGGCCATCCCGGTTGAGGAGATTCCTATGGGCCATGTGGGAGACGAAGAAGACATGGCAGCGGCAATACTGTTCTTGGCTGGAACCGGAGGGAAGTATATGAACGGGAACGTCGTGATCACTGATGGTGGACGTCTTGGGATAAGCCCAGCAGTGTATTAGGTGCCTAACAGTAGTAAATCCCGAAGTTATTCTGGCTTCTCCTTACACTAGTCTCTCATATGCCTTATCTCTTATAAATAGTTGAGAATTGCCTTAGGAGTTGAGATCCCAGCTCAAAATTGCCGCAGCGAATCCCTTTTCATCACGCCCTTCTTTCTGCAAAAAGCAAGCTGACAAACTGTTTACCACATGACTTATTTGAGAAAATTTGAACGTAAATTTCTTTCTTACAGGTGTATTGGTAGCTCAATGTTATCTTCATTTATTCATCATCTTGAGTGACCTTTGCGCTGGTTTACGGGTGACTAGAATCATCTTTTATTATATACACAAACAGTAAATATCGAATTTCACATCCCAAACGTGAGAAGTCAGTATATTATATCGAAAAGGCAATGTATTGATTGTCAAACTAGCTGCGAGGCAGATTACACGAGACTGCGTGTCTCATACACCTCTACTTGAACATCTCCTCCACTACCCAAACACTTCAACCAAGAATCGCGACAATGCTTGTGATGTAATCTTAGTCGTGGGAACTCGATGAAAGCCTGAGCCGGTGTAAACAACCACTTTGTCGTCGGGATCTTCGCATCGCCTGACTAAACGGAAGCATCGCTCCTCTGCCATCACAGGGTCGGTCGAACTGATGAAATGAAATATAGGCGTTTTGATTTTCTGAGTGTAGTATTTTTGCAATCGCTCATCGTCTTCATGATAGCCGCTATATGAGATGACTAACTGTAGCGGACCGTGGCGCGTTGTGAAGTTCGCGGGGCGTGCGAACTTTGGCCTTTCTAGGAGTGCCGCGATCAAAGAGCCCACACTTCCACCCTGAGAGAAACCGATGATGCCATCGAAGGGCCCTTCTTCATCCAGAATATCCGAGAGATAGCGGAAAGTGTGAATGTCGGTTGAACTCGAATTCTCTGGCCACCACGCATATGTTGGCTCATTCGATGCTGTTGGGGTAGAGGGGAATGGACCTGAGGGATAGTATAGCCTCACTTCTTCCCCCAATGCATGCTCGAAGATGTGTTTGAGGAATGGTGTCTCAGACTGCATGATCGCAGCCGATTGCTGATATCCATGTAGACAGAGGAATTTCATTTTGCCTTGCTAAGTTGCTCATCATCAATGACGACGGACTTCGGCGCAGAGACTGCGGTTAGCGATAAGAAATATCATTGTATTCATGTCTACCTGACCGTCGGGTAGACATGAACTACTAGGGTATTCGGCTACTCGTAGAAAATGGTTGTTAGAATATCTTTCCCGCGGTTGTTGGCAATGAATCATGGTGATGGTGGAAATTGCCGTCCGGTTATCTAGGAGGATTCGAAGTGGTCGGGCCGGCTTCGGTCTGGCGTCAGCCACTCGAACCACTACCTAACCACCCGCCTCATCCTTCGCCTGCTCGCTTAAGACGCTTACTCCAGAGCCGCTTATCTCAGTCGCCGAAAGCCTCCCCACTAGATGGCATCGCGACAGTGTAATCGAAACAGGACAATGGAAATTTCGGCTTTGTCGTTTGGTGATGCTCCATTAGTAGGCACGAGCTTGAGCCGAGTGAGGCCATTGTTTGCAACCGATTGATAGTAAGTCCACAGTAACGAGGTCTCAGAATAGAATAATATAATAAGGTCACTGTTCAATGTAGTCGTGTGCAGGCTACTCTTATCACAAATGTCCCAGAACCTCGAGAATCCTCACTTAGCCCTTTTAATGATATATCTATTGTAAAATATCTTGCGTTGGAGCTGCTGCCATACTTACATCCGATTATTCAATATTGAACAAAATGGCGCCTATCTTTTATGAGCATAGTAGTTCTAGCGAGGGCTCCGGACCAAGCTCAAGGAGCCGCACGCCACCAACCGGGATCTCGATCGATTACAATGGCTCCGAGCCTATCGCTATTGTTGGAATGGGTAAATCCTTCGCCCTAATATCTCGTAGTCAAGCTAACATTGGATGAAAGCCTGCCGTTTCCCCGGTCAATTAGATACCCCGGCTGAATTCTGGGAAATGCTTGTACAAGAAAGATCTGGATATTCAGAGCCACCTCCCTCAAGATTCAATATCAATGGCTTCCACTCCGAGAAAGCTAATACTGGCTCACTGGGCCCCCGAGGGGGTTACTTTATTTCGGAGGATGTATACAACTTTGACCCACCATTCTTCGGAATCACCCAGACCGAGGCCATAGCTATGGATCCTCAACAAAGGAAATTACTCGAGTGTGTTTACGAAGCGTTGGAGTCCGGTGGAATACCTCTCGATAGCGTGTCTGGAAAGAACGTGGGTACTTACGTTGGTAATTTCACCATTGATTATGGCATGATGGCTCTTCGGGATATGGAATACCCAAAACCCTATTCTATGACCGGTCACGGCAATACAATTTTGAGCAACAGAGTTAGTTATGTTTTTAACCTCTGTGGCCCCAGGTGCGTCACCCCTTGCCCCCAAGACATCGCGATTGCTGCTAAAATTTGGTAAGCTTTACAATTGATACGGCTTGCTCGTCTTCCATGTATGCCACACATATGGCTTGTCGTGCGCTGGCGAGTGGCGAGATTAATGGAGCAGTTGTTGGCGGCACCAATCTCATTCTTGATGCTGCAGTTCAGATGGCGGTCGATAAAATGGGTGTTCTCTCACACAGTAAGTCTGTTCTTCTGCGCAATCCACTAGCCTCTATATCTGCTAACTCGGAGAACAATTAGCATCAACATGCCATACTTTTGATGCATCAGCTGACGGGTACGGTAGAGCTGAAGGTATTGGTGCGCTATACTTGAAGAGGCTCTCAGACGCCATCCGAGACGGCGACCCAATTCGAGGTGTTATTCGAGGTACTGCCGCAAACGCGAACGGGAAGACCAGCGGAATTACGCAGCCCAGTGCTGTTGGGCAAGAGGCTGTGATTCGCAAAGCTTATGCATTTGCGGGAAATTTGAATCCAGATGAGACATCATATTTTGAGTGTCACGGAACTGGCACCCCGGTGGGCGACCCAATTGAGCTGAATGCCATCACCAACATGTTCCTAAGAGACAGTAAGAGAGATTCACTGTTAATAGGAGCCGTTAAAACGAACCTGGGACACGCGGAAGCAGCGAGCGCCATGGCGAGTATTATGAAGGTTGTGTTGGCCATGGAACTTGGAACTATTCCTGCTAGCATTGGAGTGAAGAAGTACAATCCCAAGAGTAAGAACGACTTTCCAATAAGCACATAACAAGAGCTGCAATTTTACTAACCAGTAAACAGTTAATTTCTCAAATGGGCGCTTGCAAGTGGTGAAGAATACTCGGGAATGGCCAGATGAATATAATGTTCGACGTGCGAGCGTCAACTCTTTTGGGTATGGAGGTGCTAACGCCCACGCTATTATTGAATCATCCGAATCATATTTACCCGGTTACAAGTCCTTCAATAAACGAGGGTCATCCAAGACTATGGCCACCCAAGCTCTTGGCGGCAGCAGCAATAGTCGCACGCTGAATATCCATGAGAGAACACAGTATCTGCTCCCTTTCTCAGCGCAGGACTTCCCGAGTCTTAAGGCCAATGTGCAGAGACATAGGGATGTCGCCTCGGAATACGAAATGTGCGATCTGGCCTTCACACTCAGTGCTCGACGTTCGTTCTTCTTCAACCGTGGATACGCCATCGCTTCAGCCGCCACTGTTGCAGACGACTTGAATGCTGACGATATGACTTTCGGAAAGCGAGGAAATGGCGCCAAGATTGCTTTCATATTCACTGGTCAGGGTGCTCAATCTGCTCAGATGGGAAAGGAGCTTATGGAAAACATCCCAAGCTATCTTAATAGCATTCGAGCTATGGATAGTGTTCTCCAAAGCCTTGGGGAAGATGCGCCAACCTGGACCATCGAAGGGAGCCTCCTCGAGCCTAAGGCAACCAGCGCTATTGACCAGGTTCATCTGTCGCAACCTATTTGCACTGCTGTACAAGTCGCCCTCGTCAAGCTCCTGAGAGAGTGGGGTGTTAGTCCGCTGGCATGCGTCGGTCACTCCTCTGGTGAAATTGCAGCCGCTTATGCTGCCGGTGCCATCACAGATAAGCAGGCTATTCTAGCCGCATACTTCCGTGGTGTTGCCGTAGACCAGCTCACTCAACGAGGTACTATGCTGGCCGTTGGGCTTGGACCTGAAGAAGCTGCCCCCTATTTGGAAGATGGTATTCGCATCGCTTGTTATAACTCCCCACAAAGCGTGACTCTTAGCGGCGACGAAGATGCTGCAGCGAATGTCAAGGCGAAACTGGAAGCTGATGGCATTTTCGTACGAGCACTGAAGACTAGCGGCAGAGCCTATCACTCTCATCATATGAAAGATGTCGGCGCCATCTATGAGGAGCGCGCAAATCGTGGATTCACCTTCCTTGACGCTTTAGAATTTCCTCAACGCGAGAAAGACGCTAAACATCCTGTATTCATCTCTTCGGTCACAGGCGAGCTCAAGCTTAACTTCCAGCCTGGTCCGGAATACTGGAGGCAAAACCTCGAATCACCCGTTCGGTTCACGCAAGCCATGACCCGAATGACTGAACTTGAAGGTCTAGGGATCAATCATATTGTGGAGATAGGTCCTCATTCTGCATTGGCGGGCCCAATCCGACAGCTTCGTGATAAACTTGGCGTGAGTTCCAGAGATCTTGAATACACAGCGACTCTCTCTCGGGGAGAAAACTCAGTAACCCGCCTTCTCGACCTGGCAGGAGCGTTGTTTATAAAGGGGTACCCTATAGATCTGGTCCGAGTCAATGCTATCGAGGATCAAGATCGACTAGGTAATATCACTCTGCGAAAGGGGCTTCCATTAGTAGACCTTCCACCCTATGCTTGGAACTACAGCGCTGGCTCGCTGCGTGCGAAACACCGCGTCAACATGGAATTTCAGAATCGCAAGTTTTCCCGACATGATCTCCTTGGAAGTTTACTCCCAGGCGTGATCCGGGATCAGGCACAATGGCGGAACATGCTTGATATTCATGACTTGCCATGGTTAGAGCAGCATAAGCTTGGGGCTCAACCTGTTCTTCCAGCAACAGGTTATATCGCCATTGCTGTAGAAGCTGCGCGTCAGTTCTTCCACGACAAGGTCAAATTCGAGGGTCCTTTCAAATATTTTATACCCCGGCTATCTATCAAGTCGGCGCTCAATCTCCCCCCATCCGGCAATCCGATCGAGGTTATGACTAGTGCGCGTTTTCAATTGGTATCAAATGCGGTATCTTCCACCAATTGGCTTGAGTTCACAATCCAATCGTGCCTAGATGGAATTTGGACTGAGCATTGTGTTGGTGTTATCGGACGCCAAGCTATCGACAAAGTCGCGCCGCTATTCGACGAGAGTAGAGTTCAAGAACCACGCACTTCGCACACGTGGTATAGAGGGTTCGCCAACATCGGTCTCAACTATGGTGCTGCTTTCAATGGGCTCAGTGACATACGAACTGATCCGTGGACAAATGAATGCGTAGCCGACACGAAATTGCTCCCTCTCGGTGTTCCTACTGACGACTCTCGTTATATCGTCCACCCAGGAGCTATGGACACCTGTTTACAGGGCATCTTGATAGCTGCTCATAATGGATCTCTAAAAGGAGCTAACAGGTCCTTCATCCCAGTAGATTGGGAAGAAGTGTCAATTTATTCCTACGAAGGCACAGACATGCCAGCGCCGGAGAACACCAATGGAAAGATCCTCGCCACAGGAGAGTTTAGCAGCTTACGTGCGCTCTTTGGAGCATTCCAGCTTAGCGCTCCTGATGGAAGACCGCTGTTCACTGCGAAAAGAGTCAACTCAATCACCTACGCTGAAGACCTCAATAGGAATGTTACCGAGGACCGCCACCCTTACCTTCGCGTTCTGTGGAAACCAGATGTAGAGACACTTGAGAAAGGCCCCTTACCAGCGGCAGCGACGAATATCGGACGTTCTCTATCACCCACGGAGAAGGCTGTGCTGTCGACATGGGCTCATAGTCTCAAGGCGGCAACTAGAATGTCAAGCAAAGAGTCTCCTTCGGTAGCCCGATTGATCGAAGCCATTTCTTCTTCGAATATATCAGACGAGATATACGACATCGAGCTTGCTGCATCGAACCTCGGCGTCTTGGATTTAGATGATAACTTCTACCGCCTGGAGAGTATATACGCTGCTATGATAATGACTCTCTCTGGCGAATTAGCTCTTGATACCACTGCATCGCCACAGTCGGAGGACTCACTGATCAGCACATTGGACCTACTTGGCCACAAGTATCCTGGAATGAACATTGCTGAAGTCGTCAATTCCGAAGCGGACATTGATAACACACATCCCGCAGTTTTGGAAGGCAATTCCTCACTGAAGAGGTACAACTCATACACTTATCTCGCTGTAACTGACGCTCTCGTGGAGGCTTCAGCGAGCATTTACCCCGAAGGACGTGACGTGACTGTAGAAAAGATGGCGCTGTTTGATGATGGAGAGGACAGAACATCAAACGATGTTACCTATGATCTCGTCATTTTACCGGACATCTCATCCTTTAATCGATCGGCCACTGAAGTTCTGAAGGCTCTGCAGCCGCTTCTTAACGAAAAGGGGCGGTTTCTTGTGCATAAGAGAGGCTATGACGCAGTCTCTTTCGATTCACGAATATGGGATGTTCTTAACCTCTTATCCAAAGAGAGTAACCAGTTACCTGATACAGAAGTCGCGAACTGGAGGGGTGCTTTCGACGACCAGGAAATCATGACGCAGGTCATCGACGAAGCTGCATCTGGATGGACTATCCTTTCAGAGCCGCCAAGAAAGCCCAAGCCCACAAAAGACATTGTCGTGCTATCAAGACGCAACAGCGACGCTGTTACAGATTTTGCTGTTGAGCTCGCCCGAAGCGGATATGGCGTTCGGTCCGCTTCACTGTCAGACGAGACATTCACGCCGTACCCGGACGCCATATACGTCTCAATCGTCGAGCTGGGGTCCAGCTTATTCAACGGGAATCTGAGCGCCACCGAGTTTTCCAATTTGCAGCGACTAGCAGACTCCACGCAGGCAATTTTCTGGCTCACCTCGGGAGACTTGCTTGGGAAGGTTGACCCAAACGCAGCCATTGTGCAAGGCCTGGGACGAACGCTCCAGACGGAATACGTGCAGCTTACCTTTATCGCAATCGATCTCGACCATGCTGATACTCGAAGGGCAGCTAGGCAGACTCTGCGCGTCCTCGACAGGTTCTCAAAGGATTCCGACAGTATCGACAAGGAGTATATTGTCAAGGATGATGTGTTCCATATCAGCAGACTAGCGCAAGACACTGCTTTGGATAAAGAGTATAGTGAAATCATAACCAGAGAGGCGGCAGACGAGGAGTACGACGCGACAACACCCATCCGCCTTGACATTGAGAAGATCGGTCTCCTCGACACTCTGCACTTCAAAGCCGATGAGCGTGACCGAGTACTCAGACCGGACGAGGCAGAAGTCGAGGTGAAGTCGGTTGGAATTAACATGAAGGAGTACGCAACCTTCCGTGGGAGCTTCCACTCTGAGTCTCTCAGTCATGAAGGCTCTGGTATTGTGCGCCGCATCGGCACAAGCGTGACAAACATCAGGGTGGGCGACAAAGTTTGCTGGATGGGCAAAGGTCTCTTCGGTAACATCGAGCGCTTTAAAGCCATGCATTTACATCAAATGCGGGACGAGGACGGCCTGAGCTTCGAGGATATGGCCGGGATGCCCCTAGTTTTTGCCACAGCCGTCTACGGCTTGCTATATCTTGGCCGGCTGAGGAAGGGAGAAAAGGTGTTGATTCATTCAGCTACTGGCGGTGTTGGTCTTGCAGCAGTCCAGATTGCCAAGATGGTCGGGGCAGAGATCTTTGCTACAGTTGGTACTCTTGCTAAGCGTGAGTTCTTAAAGCGCGAATACGGCCTCGAGGACTCCCACATCTTCAGCTCTCGCGACACTTCCTTCGCAGCAGGTATCATGGCTGCCACGAACGGTCGTGGTGTCGACGTTGCTCTCAACTCATTAGTCCGTGAACTTCTTGCAGCTTCATGGAGTGTTATGGCGAATAATGGCCGTCATATTGAAATTGGTCGCACTGATATTATGGAGTACGGAATTCTCGACCTGAACGTCTTCAAGCGCAACACAACGTTTAGTGCCTTTGATTTCGGTGTTGTCGCGGATGACCATCCAGGTAAGTTGAGTAGGCGCTTCTTCAAAGACATTATACTAACAGTCGTCTATAGAAATCGTTGCCGATGTCATGAAAGACGTGATGAAATATCTCAGAGAGGGCAAGATTCGTGCCCTCCAACCGATGGCTCTTTTCCCTGCCACCCAAATTTCCGCGGCCTTCGCAGAGTTTGCCAATCCGCACAGAATTGGCAAGGTTGTAGTTTCGTTCTGCCCCGAAGGCAGCAGTTCGAGGTCGCTTCTTGCTGTGCGCCGAGAGCAGAAGGGTGCCATCACTTTCAGGGCAGATGGAACCTATCTGCTCATCGGCTGCCTGGGTGGACTCGGTCGATGTCTTGCCCGCTTTATGGTCGATCGCGGCGCGCGCAACCTCACCTTCCTCGGTCGTGGCGGAGCGGATAAAAAGGAAGCGGCGGCTATGATAGATAGCTTACGCGCTCGTGGATGTTTAGTCCACGTAGTGCGCGGAGACGTTTCCAACAAGGAAGATGTAGCTAGAGCTGTTGCCGTTGCTGGCGTCCCAGTTTACGGCATGGTTCAAGGTGCTATGGCGCTTGAGGTAAGTTTTTGCCTTCACCCTTGCAATCCATGCCATTTGCTAACACCAATAAGGACAAACTATTTAGTAAGCTCGATCTTCCAGGATGGCAATACCCGATCGATCCTAAAGTCCGGGGAACATGGAATTTGCACGAATGCCTCGCCGGCCAGCCCCTGGACTTTTTCGTAATGCTGTCCTCAATCTCTGCCATGACGGGTGCACCAACGCAAAGCAACTATTGCGCTGGCAACACCTTCCTCGACTTCTTCGCCCGTTATCGTGACGGCCTTGGTCTTCCGGCCACCACTGTTGGCCTTAGCATGGTCTTAGAAGTTGGGTTTGTATCGCAGAACCTTGCTATCGAGCAAGGCATCGCGCGCTCCGGCATCCATGGCATCACTGAGCGCGACTTCTTAATGCTCATGGAGCAGGCCATGAAGCCGGGACGAGTCGGTGGTTGGCGCCTCGACGCCGGAGCCAAGAATTTCTTAGTTAGCGGCCTGGAGCCCGCGAGATTAGCGTCTGACCTCGATATCCACGGTTTCCGTTTCTGGCTCCAGCCACGCGTTGGGCCGTTACTGACAGCAATTCAGCGCAAAAACGAGGGATCAGCCCGTGGAGGTACGGGCGGGGTCAAGGCTGTTCTTGACCTCGATGACATCCTTGGAGCGACTGTAGAGAAATTTGCCAAGACCTTCATGATTCCTACCGATGATGTAGACCCAGCCAAGCCGCTGGTGGCCTATGGAATGGATAGCATGATTGGAACGGCGCTGCGCAATTGGGGCTTTTCAACTTTCGGTGTAGACATTCCTGCTTCTGATTTCATGGGACCAGTTCTTACTGCCCAGTCTCTTGCCGAGAAGATTTTTGCTGGTCGAGCTTGAGAATACCGTAATCAGTACAATGGAGCAAAGATAACTTATAGCTTCTAGCTAACACTTTACTAAACAACTAAGTTACGAATTATATAAGTATAGAATCTGTCTTTAGAAGGAAGTTAATGCTGCGTCCTTTCTATATCCTTTGAGGTAGAGATAGTGCTGTACAAATGAATAAGTGTATGTATATTGGTAAACAACCCCGTTGCTCACTATCTATGCTGTAGCGCTCTCCTAACGAGTCGTGTTTAGTGAGTGCGGCTGCCCCAGGGCAGACTGTTACTAGGTAGTTCGTAGGGAGGTTGTTCCTTCATATCATCCGCCTCTTCTTCCTGGAAACTACGATATAGAATTAAATAGCAGTCGCCCTAGTATCCAACTTTGGTAATTCGTCTTATATGGATTCTCTGAGCTGAGGCATGGGGTGACACATGAGAGCTTTAACAGTACGCTTACCTTTATATGAGACTTTGCTTGCAAACCACCGATATAACCCCATATTATCTTATCTTATATGCTGCTAATGGACAAGTTAAAATCTATCTACCCTTTAAATTTTAACTATTATTATATTACGGTACGCGTCCGGAACAGCTCGATCCACAAGTTTGAATACAATTAGATAAATACATTATGTCATCGATGCAGCATGATATCCCTGAACAGTATCCAAATGTATAGCAACCCGATATTAGACATTGATAACAAGGTAAATACCCTAACTTCAATATATTATGGGGGCCAATTAAAAATATATGCCAGTTGCCCATTATTACGGGCTGGTCTAGGGATGCACCGCGATTACGTAATGATATAGATCAACGCCTATGCTTTGATTGGTGATATCGATAACTTTAGGATTGGATTGAGCGCATATTGAAACGCAAGAGAATGTGCGAAGCTAAAAAGAGATGAGGTAATCATAGAGTAAATGAAACAGCGGCACGAGATAAATGCGATACATTACCGTTATCTAGTCACTGTAAGCTTCATACTGCTACTGTCATAGAGGATAAAGATGAAGATTAGCTGTAGATATACTCCTGGCTAACCGTGCTTGCGGGACTAGTAGGCAATAATCTGCTAGCACAAAATCAGAATAACAAGTTTATATTCTATCGTTAATCGAGATTGCTTCTAACTACGAGATTGATGCAGCGGGGGTGACACTGAACGTAGAAAGTTAGCTTTTAAGAAGAGCCGAAATACTGACAAAATTATCAAATCCCTTACTTGTTTGTCCAATCGTAAGCAACTTTCTTCTCAGAGTTATTGAATCTATCAGGACTGGGTCACCGACACCATAACAATAAGGTGCGGCAATCGCACTTTTGTGTGTCGTCGTCCTTAAATCGGACTATGCTGAAGGGCGGTTTTTAAAAAACTAACTCGTGAGTGTCAAATAATCACGGAGTTGTGCCAAAACACTGAGATGGGTCCCTAGGCATCCAATATTAAGTTGGGCTCTTCTACTTTGCTACACTCTTACTAGATCCTCACGCTGTATATGACACTTCCAGCGTGAGCAGTAATGTGTGGTCTGTCAGCTTTCTTTAATATAGCATATCTCGCCTACCATCTTAGAGTCAAATAAAATATTCGCAATAAGAGCAATGCCTTACTTATAACACTAGCGGTTATACGCATCACTATATTTCTAGCTTCGTTAATACTCTACTATAGTACCCAACAAAGGTTCAATGCAGGAAGTTCAGTTGACGAGAATGTTGGTCAGGTTGACAGTAGTACGTCATCTAGTCATGCGTTACCTTGACGTATTGTCTAATTAGGCAATTCTTACGCAGGGCGGGAGCCAGTATGGCCTGCTACGCACTCTTACTTCGTAATTCACTCGTTCGCCTATTCTGACGGATATCTGTGCCGTCAACATCCTCTGCAGCCAACAGTGCAGCCAGGCCCGCCTCCCCGCCCTAGATCATCTTCGCAGCAGCCTAATGTATATCGTTCTTAATGCAATGTAACTGTTAGTTCATGGGGGTATGCACGATGTAGCCATAGGTAAAGTGAGATTCATAGGTAGTTAGGACACGTGCATGTGGCACCGGTGCCCAAAGGATGAAGGGTTAATATTGTTTCTACTTGACAACATCAATCTACATGCATTTACTTTCCCTAAAAATAGCTATATCAAATCCAAATACGAGCTGGGTGTTGCAGCGGTCGCATATTTAATGCCATTCGCAGCTTAGAATATCGCTGTATAGCTCAGCTTGAATCTGCGAAGGTGCACCTCCACCTGTGCATATCCCACCGGCAGCAAATACCCCTTCGAGGCTAGACCTATTAAACGGTGGGCTTATCCTGACAATCTTCATTGGCGTCATTTCGAGACCGAGCCGTTTAACTATTCACTCTGGAGCTTTGTTTTCGGCTCGCGAGCTAAGACGCCTTCCTTAGTTGCTGTGCCATCTGCTTGTATATCTTCTATTACAAAGCTTGGTGAAGACTGTTCCTACAAATCACTTCTTATCTTCAGTAGCACGATCTCTTACAAAGACTTCCAAGAGCCTGATCCGGACAACGACCAACATGTCGGCCGAAGCTAGCAAGCGTAAGTCTCGCAGGGCGATTCGAGTATATGCCACCGAGACTAATATGATTCCTGCCTCTCCAGATATTACCGATACAGAATGGTCCAAGGTCGCTCCTGCAATGATGCAGATGATGGCCTCTGGGCCAGGTGTCGCCCCCGCTCAGCACATGGCTGAACACGCGGACAAGCTCTTGCCCTTTTCTAAGGCCACAGTCATCGTCGACATGGGCTGCGGTCCTGGTCAGGTTACCAACGCCGTCTTCAAAGCCCACCATACAAACATACCTACATCTGCCAAGGTCATCGGCGCCGATAACAATGCCGAAATGCTGGCGCAGTACAACAACCAAAGGAACATGGAAATTGAAAAGGGAAACAGTTGGTGGGAGAGCGCTGAGATCCTTGAAGTCGATGTTCATAAATGTGATACCTTGGAAGACGACTCTGTCAGCCATATGCTGGCTGGATTTGTCCTGTTCTTGGTGCCGAACCCTGCTCAAGCTATCTCCGCCATGAAACGTGTTATGGCTCCCGGTGGTGTGCTGGCAATGTCTGCCATGGTAGGCGGGGACTGGGTAACGCTTTCGATGTACCCTCTGAAGGTGCGCCCGGACCTAGTCATGGAGGTCCCATCGAACAGTTGCACTTCACACAAGGACGTGACAAATCATCTCAAGAACGCTGGATTTACGGACATCGAGGTCATTGACGTCGAGAACTACATGGAATTTGACGACTACGAAGTTGTCTGTCGCTTCATTCTGAATAAAATTCCGATGACTGCGAGGGCCATTGCCCAGATGACCCACGAGGAGATCACGAAGACTCAAGACATGATGGTCGCTGACCTAAGGTCATGGTACCCTACTCTACCTGCCAAGATGAAGGGGCAGACGAACGTAGCTTATGCCCGTAAATGACAACGATAGAAACCAACGTCCCGCAGAAACTATGATAAGTACTGTTACACGCGTACAAGCTGTTCATAATCATTCAAACAAATGCAGGCAATATTGGAAAGTGAGGTTATACAGACATCGCTCCTTGGAACAGACCTTAGAGACCCAGGCGGTCTGAGCTGGCAGACCATTTGGATATAGAGTCGAGTTAAGCCACCAATAGCCAAGAAGGAGTTGGTTGGTCAAGGACTCATGTAACTCTAGTTGATCATTTTAATCTGAATAGCATCAAGTTCCAAGCCCAGTTATCTGTCCTTGTTATTTCGAGGAAAATCAAGTTAAATTCGATGAACGCAAAAGTCCTTTAGGAGTTAAGCAAGCAGCATCTCAGTCCAGAAAACATTAAATTTGGAGGAAGTAGAAATTTCTTGATGCGCTTTTGGTCTTCGAGGGGATGTAGCGTTGTGATAGACTTTTAATAGATCAACCATCTTGTTGCGAAGAAGGGCAGCCCCTGATGAGTTGCAGGTTATGCGGCTCTTCACGTAGCAAGGGACATGTAACCTCGCAATGTAACTCAGAGCTGCACGAGCAGCGAATACAGATAGACAGGCTTTCATGCATATATACTACATACTATACTATGTACATACATACCAATAGGCAGGCTCTGGCCAAGCCCAATACTCGCGTCGGCATCGGTTGGGAAACTTCGGGAAAGCTTAGTCTAACGCTTCTGAATGAGCAAGGCTAAATCTGCAGTTGTAGGTTCGCTTACAATTGCTTACCATCTGCCATTATATCTGCCACATTGTATACGACTAGATTAGTATGGCAACTTAAACTTAGTTGTTAAAGAATTTTTTTCAGTTCGTCGTAGGATATGCGGGATTATTTTATATACTTTTATGCCCTTGATTGACTTAGGTAGTTAGCCCAATCTCACAGTTACAAACGCCGAAAACCTGATGTGCCCGAGCATCCCCGTGTTCATGTGCATGGGCGCTTTTAGGCCAACTACATGGGTATGCATTAATGCATGCGTGCTGCCAGTCGCAGAAATTGCCAACTGCATTGCACTCGGGCCCGACGCTTTGTGGCAAGCTGCCTCCTTGCGATTGGGATTGCTGCCTATTTGTTTGTTTGTTTGTTTCTGACGTACACGCCCTAGTATGCAATAGAGAGAGTTCCCGAGTAAGGCAGTTCCAGGGTACCGCCGGCCACTGGACAAACGTTACTTTCTCTATTCAACCCCCTCATCCTCAGTTGTATCTCCCAAGCTACCTCGATATAAACACAGATCGCTTAGAGCCGCTCAAGGTATTTTCTTGCACGCCCTCCTATTACTCGTCGCCCATAATTCCGTTTATTCAGCGTACACTGTCCGTTTGTCCAAACGACTCCAACATTATGGCCGCTCCTAGCGAATTTGTTCCTAAACAAGCTATGCCCTTTGACGGCAAGCTCTTTGACATCATCGGCGCCGATGAGACGCTCACCATCGCTAAACATGAGATGACCCTTCTTCCTCCATTCCCAACAGGAGCTATCATTCACGACGCTGCTTGTGGGTTGGGACCGGTGACGCAGAGCATCCTAGCAACAGCACCGCCCAGTGATGTCAAGTTCTATGCCACTGATATTGCCCCGCCCATGGTTGGCATCTACAACCAGGTCTCGTCAGGTAATAATTGGCCAGTGAAGGCTGAAGTCATGGATGCCCAGAACTTGACGTTTCCTGACGCCATGTTTTCCCATACCTTCCTCTCGTTTGGCCTCCCCATCATTGATGACCCAGTGACGGCCGCAAAAGAGATGTACCGCACACTCGCCCCCGGCGGCACTGCCGTTACCGCGTTTTGGCTACAGATCCCCCAAGGCGAATGTGCCCAGGATACTCGCATGGCCGTCTACGGGCCCGATGCCCATCTAGCCGTTGAACCGAAACCACAGCATAAAGATCGAGACTACCTTAAAAGCCTGTTGGTGCAAGGCGGGTTCGAGTCCACAGGCATACAACTCTATGTGAAGTCGGCGTTTCTCCCAGTCAAAGATTTGGATGAGTTCGCTCGGGCCATTTGGACTGCCATCGGCCAGCCCCCGGGAGGATGGACTCAAGAGGATGAGAACAGGTGGAATGTAGCAGTGTCTGCGTATAAGACGCTCCTCGCAAAGAAACCAGGCTATCATGTAGATGAGAATGGCAACATTACACTAGAGGCCATCGCCCAGATATGCATTGTCAAGAAAGCTTGATTAATCCGTGTGTGGCGTCTCATAGATGGGATGAAGGGTGACACCGTGGACACATTGGAAGAATCAAAACAGTTGCCTACCTAGGCACTTACTTAGGCAGGTCCTTAACACAAATTATAGGGGATAAGCGCTATATTACAGCTAGTTTAGTGGGCTACTTCCCTATAGTATGGCGGGTATGCTAAGTCCGAAGATTTTCAGGTTATCTCTCGCAAGTTCTATCATGTAGCACCAATGAACCTTCATGAGCCTCCCATCTCTCTACTATAATACTATCTGGTTCTGTTACGGCAAACAGACTCTGCACGAGGTCCAGGAACTTCTGAAACAAGGGACCTTAGCCTTTAGCTCCAGTACTATTCATAGGGACCGGCAACAAGGTAGCTACATGATAAGTAGTGTTTCATCGCCTTGGGTTTTATCTAACCTTGAGATCTGGAAACTGGCTCGCTTCAACTTCCAAGTAACACCATACACACTATTTTGAGAAAAGCACATGTTGTTGTACATGGATCTAACTTTAGATAATAATGCACGAGCTCTTTTGAGTTGAGTTTCTTTCACAGATTGACTAATAATTTGACTTACGCCTATTTATGCAAAAATGAGTTATTGATGACTTTCCAACCATTCTTCTAACTGAATACGATAAATACTCATTATTATATCACTAACGAGAACAATATTTCTTTCATCTGGACTTCTTGCAGTTTTTAATGCTTAAGCTATGTATATTTTAGTCTAATTTGGTTTATCTACCTACATCAATGCCTCGGTGTATCCTTCTCTCAGACAAGTGGTATTTTCAGGCACTCTATAGCAGTGGCCACGTTAGGAAATACCTTATATACAGACGCCAGGGAACTTGGAGCTGCTTCTAAGAACGTCCGCCAAAAAAACATTTGTGTCCGAGCATGCATAGATACGAGACCGAGCAATAGTTTCGGAGACTATTGGCTGTGCGAGCGCATTCTGCAATGCTTCTTGGTGTACCGCTGCCAACTCCCCGAGGCGTGGGATCATAGGAAACCACGCGAATAGCTGCGCTAGGATGAAATGAAGTAGTTCTTGGAACTGAACACCGTGGCCGTTGTTTAACTGGATCTCCGTGTGGTACCTGGAGGCGTTGCTATCCTTGGTCAGAATCCCCAAGTAGACGTGACAGAGCTCGTGGACCATGACGCAGAATATTTCATCGAATGGCTCAGGCTCACCAGAGGGCTGGTCAAGGTTCACCCAGAGTGTAGCCTGAGAGGGAATAAATACGCCTTTCATTTCGGGCTCTTCACAATGATCTCCGAATGAGAGTGTAATTAGGGAACGGTGATCGGACTCATCTTTACGCTTGTCTTGTTGGGTTATGATGCCGAAGAAGAAAAGGCGATCAATCCACACTAGACAATTAGCTACCGACTGGGCCAAGGTTGTTCCTGTATAAGGGTTTGCCTTGTTCGCCTCCAAGTCGGCTTGCATCTCGTTTTTGAATTCTGAAACATCGCTGCTATTAGGATTCGCTTTAGCAAGGCAGTTGGTTTTGGTAAACTGCACGAGGTCGGCAGCTGTGAAGGAGTAAACCCTGTTCGGACTATCCGTTTCCCAAAACCGATATCTCTGCATTCCTGGTACTGTTAGCCAAAATTCTGAGCGGCGGATGAGGCTTTGCACGGTTTCCGAGACGCTAGCCATTCTTTTTTTTTTTTTTTTTTTTTTTTTTTTTTTTTTTTTTTTTTTTTTTGGCTTATGAATGAGGTTCGTAATCTGAGGTCGTTTTTGTTTAACTTTGTTTTGGGTATGTTGCTAGTTGTGTTTGTCCTGAAAGAATCAACCAGGAGAACTTCATTGTCAAGCTGCCTTTTATACATCTCACGGAAGAATAGAATGTTGATAACAACACGATTGTTCACTAAAGGGATTGTTAAGTGTTAAACAGACAAAAGGATCAATTTAGCACACGCTCTCATTACAAGTAGTAATCTTCCTTTCCTTGTTTTGTTACTTTTATTCTAGCTTATGATGTCCGATATCCACCTCATTGGCTACGGTACGGTCATTACTTAGCCAAGGTTGGGTGTACTTCGTGGTAAGAAGGTAAAAATATGAATGTAATGTACAGGTTCGTAAATGATGTTTGAACTTGAGTTCAGCTAAGCTAATATCGCGACCCTAAGGCTATATACAGCGAGGCTCTTTGTCTATAGCTCTAGTATCGTGGCAAAGTACCCTAGCTATGCTACTAACATGGATGCATACCCGTAGTAGGTAGTTAAATAAGGGGCTAATTTTATATGCTTAAATCTGCGGCAACAAGGACTTATAGGAGACAAGCTACCCTGTGCAGTTGCTCTTTGAGGGTGGAGGCGTCCCCAAGACACTCGAGGGAAAAGTAGATTGTCGCTAGAAGAGAGAATGAAGCAACCGACAAATGAAGTACATATCCAACTAAGGATATTCGATCTCGGCCTCCATAGACTTGAATTTCGCGCTAGCAGAAATCCGGGTTGCAAGAATAGGTGAAGGGGTCTATTGAGTTTCGAGTGAATCATTCATTCTTTCTTGTGGCGTGTGGCAATACATGCTGAATGGTATAGCTGTGGGTTGCGAATAATCCGTAAGGCATGGGACTGGGAAATGAAAGTCCGACGGCTAAAGGTGAGAAGGGCAGAGCCAGCAGAACTGTACCCTACCATGATGGAACACTAGACTCTATCGTTTCATGTGTTTAATTTTGCTCTGTCACTGTAAGTCTAAAACAGTGGCATACTCCATAGTCTCATTAGAAGTTTCGAGTGTCATTATCGTGGGCATCATTTCCATCCTCTCAAAGCGTTAATTACTTCATAGAATTATTGAGAAGGCACTGAAAAACTCACTGTTTCATCGTTGCTGGATGTGGGCAACGGATCCCAGAATTCAGAAAAATGATCTTCAATTTGCCAGAGGGTGTCTATTGGAATATGGTCTATGCGGCCCTGGAGCGTCGTCTGGCTAGCCGAATCCCCAATTGAGTGCTGTGGTGGTGAGAAAATCTGAGGCGTATTCGCACCTGTATAACGTGGTGAGTTGAGCTTCTCGATTGCTTGTAAGAAAAGACCCCGGATGAATGTGGCTGAAGAATAAACATCCTGGATCTTTCTCAACACTATCATGAAAAGATCCAGTTTGTTTAGACTCGACTGCCGTATAAGCGGATCCGACGACTTGGATTCCAGGAGATGACTATTCATGGCTGGCACAAGTAAAGGGACCCTAGGAGAAGTCAACGCTGATTATAGATAGAGAAGGGCAGTGTAAATTTACGTCATAGGGCCAATATAACCGATCAGTTGGTTGCTGATGACCTTGTCTAGCATGGTGTTGGTGTTCCCCGCCGCTGCCCTAATCTTTTGATGCACGAGTGCAAACCACACAGCCTCTTGATCCGGAGGAACGCCCGGCGGGGCGCGGTTCGTATAAGGCCTCCATAACGCAATAGTAGCGGCGCTTGTGGGCACAGATATTAGCTACTCTCTGCTACTAAAACGAATAGAGGCAGACGAAAAAGCTTGTGTGAGATATAGCTGCCTCTGGATCAAGGTCAAATTCTTACTTGAAGTGAAGTCGTAGGTGATATGAGTAAAAAGTCAATGATGGACTGGAATCTTCTGGTCGCCCACCGGCTTGTGAAATGCATCGCATAAGGTCTTGCTCGGTTGCTTCAACCCAGACGCGTGAGGGTAGGGAGCCCGTGGCATTGTAATTCTCCGACAAAATCGTGCCCAATACCTGGCTGAGGTGTAAGAGGATTACCCAGCACTCAGCAAGCTGGTCAAAATCTGCTGGTATATACATGCTTCGAGTCTGGGCAGACAATTCGCTCAGGTCATTTATTAAATCTTCACTGGAAGGTATCGGAGTATTGCAATCGCGCGCGTGTATTCGCATAGGGCGGCCCATCCCCAAGCTCAACCACCGATCGCGGAAAAAGCAACCTAATAAGTCAATGAGGATTTGTTGGCAGAAAATGGCTTGAACGTCATTTGTGCCTACGCGACGCTACGAGAAAACGAAATGAGCGAAGGAAGTAAAACTTACTCCACCAAATACGTCGCCATAGTTGGCGTTGCCGGTCTGAGAGCCGTTTATTGTATTGGCCACGATCTGGATCGCGGTTTAAACCCAAGGTTTGGGATAAACTGATAGCAATGCCCATCCAATGCCATGACTCTGTTCGTTCCCCCAAGTCGGAGTACCAGAAAGCCAGGAGGCAGACGGACTGAATGATGGAAATGCGGTTTTCTTCGCATCCATTATCATACAAGCACTGAGTCATCCAAGTACAGGTTAGGCAGATGGGGATGATAAGGAGAGAAAACGAAACGAGATTGTAATATAGGGAAGTGGACAGGGGTATTTACTTACCTTGGCACGAACAAACATCGACTTCTTCATCTCCTTATGAGATTGGTAACCAGCTTGGCGTACTATCACTTTATCTACGTGCTGCATACCCTGCTTAGTATATATATCAGTTGAATAACTGTAGAATATACTTACATTGGCAGCCACGGAGAACATACTCCACAAGAGTAACAGATTAATCGCGGACGCACCACCATTACGAAAAGAGGTGAGTACATCTACAGCATCAACCACCGGTAAAATAGGGTGGATATGATAGAAGTAGGCTCTGAACAGCGCTTGACACACCGGCTCACTAGGAACCGAGAACACGCCCTTGGCTCGAAGATATGCGACGTCTTGAGGAGTCAAGTCGTGTGTCGCTACCATGTATGGCAACCCATAATGTTGTGGTATTACATTTGACTCACCGACAATGTCGAGAATGTAGCCAATTCCTTGTTGATCTCCTACATACAGACAAGATGTCAGCACACTAGACAAAAATTGTAAAGATACGAGAAATAGGTTGCAGGTTATGGTTAATGATGAATAACAATTGTCTGACTATGGTGTGAATCTACAATGCAAGAAGTAGACGTGTTCAGTGTTGCAAGCGTAAAGGGCCTGTCATGTTGCATGATAGACCATCGCTTCTGAAAGTATTGGCTACTGACCAAATTCAGATATCTGGAGACTTCGCAGCAACTCCACCAGGGTCAACGTTACCCTTGGAATGCCTACTAGCCTGCTGACCCGGCATATGCATCTCGGAGCGCGCCATTTCAAGAGCCAGTATTACAAATTGATGTTCATACTTACCAACGTAAAAAGTCTCAGATGTTGCTTCAACTGTATCTTCCATAATAGAAGAGGCTAAAGATTCAATTGCATAATCATCCGGTCCACGTTCGGGAGCGGTCTCCTCTTGGAACGTGGTTATGTTGGGGTCGACCTGAAAGGTAGCATTCTCGCCCTCTTCATCGTTCTGCATGCCATTTTGATGGACAAATGGTGTGACAGGACAAGTATCAGGAGGAGTTGTCATCGGCCCTGGAATTGGAAGCTTGGAGTTTGCGATGGTTGAGGGGAGGTCAGCGGACGATGATGTTGAAGGAGCACTGGTGACGCCCCAGTTACAACTTGGTACTGGGTGGCTAGATTGCGAGTTTCGGCTTTCAGCACCTAGATAGAGCGAGAAAAGGGGTATAGGCAAGGGAAAGGCAGAGAAAAGGCCTGTTTCTAGAATCGGGGCTACTCACGTGCGCTTCTTCCGCCCATTTACCTCACAAGAATGGCCATCGCGTACGCAGTTGAAACACGGTATGCCAACGGCGGTGACGTTGCACTTTACTTTCCGTTGCCGACAGACCCGACAAGCTGCCGGGGCGCGTCTCCGAACTTGTGGAACGGCTACTGAGGCGGAGACCGGAGATAGAGACCCTCCAGCGTGGTCGGGTTCCATTGCTGTGGTATCATATGCGCACGTACCATTAAGTACGCGCAAGACGGCTGACTATAGGCATGCACGGAATACGAGAACGGATAGATCGGCAACGACGTTTCATCGTTCTAGACGCGAACCAAGAACCAAGAACCATCAAAACGAGCCACGAGGCAACAGCGGGCAGGTAGACAAGATAATATGGTTATATAACGAGGATGATGTGTTGAGCGGCCAGACCCAGTGCCAAGAAGGGAAGCCTTGAACATTAAAATAGCTGGTCAACGACTGGGTAGCACAGGCTGCACAGCAGAGCGAACCGATTCTGTGACGCGACGAGCGTTACATAGAAAGCCTTTATAACATTATATAAGGATCAATAACTCGTATCGGAGGGTACCTGCCCAGTCGCGAAAAAAAACAAGTCAATGATCAAAACTGTAGAGTTCCTTCGAGGCCCCTCGGTATAGGAGCGCGTGCTGAACGTACCTAGTTCTCTGGCCGATACGGACGAGTCGATCCCTCAGACTGGGTGATGGTTGGTCATCTCTCCAGTGCAAGGACCCTGCATATTTTCGTCCTTAGTAAGATAGCCTGGCTAGACGAGGACGAGGTCGGTATGTTTAGCGACGCAGAGCCTTGCGATCGGCCTGTTTGGCAAGTTCCATCTCAAGACGGCTACTACTCTGCAGCCCAGACGCCTCTCAATTGAGACATGTTCACGCACAAGCACAGGTAAGTGGTTGTCAGATCATGACCAGTAGGCTACTCCGGTAGCTTCTGGAGCAGGAGCGGAAGGAAGCGGAGGCTATTAGCTAGAACCGTAGGAATGCAGTGCAGCCATGGTGATGGCAAGGGAATCGTCAGGGTGAACAAGGGACGAGCATGGGTTCTTCCCAGCTACCCCGGGCGACAACGTGCGCCATCAGATGTGGATACAGCAAGGTCCTTTCAGCGAAACGGCAAGTCTTGCGAGATCCTGTTCGTGTATCGAGTAGTAGACCTACCTAGGTGAAGCGAAGTGCGCCTGACGATAGTTGCAGCGAGCATGGCCTTGCGACATTCGTCCTACATGCTCTACATATAGTAGAGTAGTGCTACTATGCGTGTGCCTTCGTGCGTGCTGCGTGATACACCACACTCGCGTAGCTTGTTCACTCCAAGATTGTCTCATCTAAGGCAGTGGCACCTAGCCCTTGATCGATTCGCCATAGACATTGACTATTGAAGTCAGGTAGCGAGCCAGATCAGTCAGCGATGGTTTCGGAGTATCGGGATCCCATTGTACGATCAACACCCTAGCTTGGTGATGACCTCAGCGGCACTGTATGTGTGATGGCCTCTTTCAATGAGCACCTTGAAGGCAGAAGGAAGCGGGCAAATTACGTCGTAACGCAGCTAAGGAAGAGACACTCTCACATCCGCACTCTCCTACTGCAGGTATGTAGGATCCAAGAGATAGATGTACAGCCAGCCTCCTTCGGTGCAGGTGGACGGAAACGAATAAGTGCGAATCCGTGAATATCTTGATCACTTCCTGTCGTGGTGCAAGTCCCGAAAATAAGCTTTCGTTGATATGAAGGCCGTGGGCGTAGTTAGTGGAGTGCAGGGCCATCTCGGCCGCTATTTAGGCCCGTCCAGGGCTACATTCAGGGACCTAGCCCCTAGTCTTCAAGCTAGGTACTTACTACTTAAATAGGACCGCTATCTACTTAGTCCCACGCGGGCCGCCCGTACTCCAGCAAGCACTTAGTAAGGAAGTACTATGCATGGATATATATTGACGCAGTTCATTAGCTTTCGGGACCGTCGGGCTGATTCGATCGTGAATAAATACCTACTTACTTACTTACATATGCGATGACCTAGTCTACGTGGGCTCTAAGAATACAATATATAGAACACGTGTCAGTTCACTGTACATGGCTTATAACAAATCAGAAGCAGGACAGGTGGGCAAATAGACAAGGTAGGAAGCATGGCCGACGGGAAGCTATCTATAGGTAGGCTATAGCTACTTGTGGTGAGCATATCTGCAGAGAATCCTCCGTCAGATCCCGTATAAAGGCCCGAGAGCGCTAGGAGTATGAGCTTGAAAATACTCGGAGTAAGTATGTCCCTGGGTGTCAATCTCATGTCACCTCAGTGAACTATTCGAGACAGTATGATTGATAAGACATTCCGCACGACCGAGAGATGAGTCCTTTGAGAGAGGTCTTTACCTAACCCCGGCGTAATGTGGCTGAATCTCGACTTATACAGAATATTCCGCCATCTCGCCTGGCCACTCAGATGGCAGGATCTCTATGCTTTGCTGCTGCCAGTTTCCCTATCATGCATATGTGCTCCGTGAAGATCGTAAGATCGTGGTTTGAGCTCGCTTGTGCCCCTGCGCAGACCTCTGTCAGGGCTGGCACGCGAGAGCTGAAGGATCCGTCTCACTGGCGTGACCTCCCTGTCCCGAAGACTATTCAGAAAGGCCGGGCGGTTCCGGACCTTTGCTGACATATGTCTACTCTAGGTCAATGTACATGCTAGCCAACACACTCGAACCCACGATTTGAATGATCTTGTCGACGAGGTATTGTGCTATAGGTTTCCCTCCTTCAGGAGGCAGTAAGGGCTTAGTGTAATGGAAAGTGAGGACACTTAAATTATTTTTCATTCTGTATACGAACTTCCCTGTATGATTGTTGTGGTGAATGGGGTGAGCCACTATATGCACACCACCACCACTAAGATTCTTCATTATACAAAATGATCCTATAAGCGCAACTTGCATCGCAAAAATGTGATTAAGATGGTGAGATATATGTTGTTGTGTTAATCACATGTTGTGTATTATTACTTCGCTCCTTCGAGTATTAGGCAAGGGCATGAACATAGCTGTAGGTATGTTGCATTGCTTGTGAGATAACTTTGTGCTGGAATTCTAGTTTGAAAAGTCAACACATTCAGTCTAATCAGCGTCCGATTATATTAAGGTACCAGTCCAAGAAAACGATCGCACCGGAGACCATAGCCCAGGAACTGTACGCAGAGTCCTGAAGACATGGAGCAGCTCTTTGCAGTCATTAACGAGAATTGATTGATATAGGTAGTCTCTGGCGCACGCGCCTACTTGGCGGGACACTAAAGATGCGGCCCAAAGAGTCCGACGATTTTCCAGTACATGTGGTCGATTTTCTACCTTGTGCGACTAGATTGGCAATGTTGTGGGAGCTCCAGGCGGAGCAAAATGGCGTAGGATCTCGAGTCAAAGCTCTGGAGACATCGGGCACGGCTTGCCTCTGACGCCGGACATGGCGCTATGGGCGTGTTACGTATGAGCGACACTGGACGTTTTGAGGCAACTGATGAGTGATCGGAAAGAAGTGTACGGAGCAGCGCATGTGATCACATTAAATTATTTAGAAGCCTAGGTTACCAAACATCTTGACGGTAGGAGAAAGAGTCTTATATAGCTCCAGTATATGTATCACCAGTACCGCCGCCTTCCACTTTTGCAAGTGAGGTAAAAGCTCCACCTATGCAACGTGCGATCATCGAATTACGGATAGCAAGCCAACTCAAGGCTGATTGGAGATGGTGACTTCATACATGGCTAGCATAAATCCAAGCTGCAGTATTACCCCAGCCACGAGGTTGGCGGGCGAGGCGATCTGACAAAAAACTGTCACCCCCATAATACTTATACCACCTATGAAGTGTGACGGTTTTTTATCAGACCACCTCGGCGGGTGCATCCTTTTGAACGCCAAGTACGCTAAATATGCAACTGAAGTCAATTACAGTAGAGTGTTTGACCTATTTAGAAGAAAAGTTGCCTATACCAATATCTCTACGCTGCAAGGTTGAGACTTTCAAAAGCTTGCAGAGGGCGGGCAGTCTCAAAAAAGGCTGACGATAAGCCATTCTAGCCAAAAGGGTAATACAATACGACGACTACATATACTCTGTATTTGCTAAGAACAAGCTGCTCCAAGGAGGGAGAGAAGGAAGGAAAAGAAGAAAAATATTACATATTTGACGTGAAATATATGGCAAGCTGCTGCTTGCGCGTGTAAGTTTTGCAGGCAACTATTCTTTCTAGGTATCAATGCGGCCGTAGCAAGCAACGTATGTACAGGTAGCACCTGGCAGACTAGTGGTGACCTAGATACTACGATAAGGTGGAAGGGAGAATTCCATAGAGTCTGAACTATTTGTACCTAAGAAGATGCATTAATATCCCCACCTCGTTAGGAACCTCGCTCTGTGAGGCTAGCTGAGTGTTAATTCGTGAAGCAATTGAAAAGTTATATGAGAGCAAGGTACATCCCGAACTCCGCATTATTACCTAGTTAGTGACTCGAATGCATTTCCCCTGTACATTGACTCCGGCGTGGGTTGGTAGAGGCGATTTGCAACGTCAAGTACTTAGTGAAATGGCGGAACCATGTATTGGAATTAGGAAGGCAGTACTATTTCAACTCCATGTCTAATCTCGTTTCTTAAAGTAACTGTGCTAGTACTAACACAAGCACATTTGCTGATTTATGTCGCAACAATTCATTACAATTACAGCAGGAGATTGGTTCTGCAGCACATGCAAGCACACACACTCATAGGAGGCAATATGGCTTATATGGGGAGGACCCGAACAGGTTTCTGCTCGTTTTCTCTTCTTAACTGCCTTAGAAGGACTCGGCCCCGTATAATGCGCAACAAGCTTTTGATAACTGGCTCGAAACTGCCCAGTAACTACACATCTGCTAAAATAAAAAAGATAGATAAGCGCGTGGTTATTGTCAAAGTTCCCAAGCACCAGCGGCATAGGGGTACAAAGTACTTATGTAGGAAGAACATGTTGGCGGATTGGGAGAGGTGTCATGGAGGTATGTCCCGGAGTGAGTAGAAGGTCAGTCACAGTCAAGTAGGTAGGTAGAAGGGTAGTATAGGCGTCAATATTCATTGAATCCTGAACCCTCCAACCCTCGAAGAGGGGGGCCAACACCCCTTTATATAGCCAGTAGGTCTAATACAGCCACCCCTAGGGTCTATGTGACTATATCACCTGACAAGAGGTAAAGCATAGCATAGTCCTCTTGGCTGCACTTTGTATATGCCAATATAACGAGGACACGATATGCGACGAATCATCGATATCCTGTTCCAAATTAGCATCCTTGCTTCGTGAACTCCTTTGTCACTACGACTACTCCTGTGGTACTGGGTAAGCCCCTCGAGCATA